CTCCCAACTTGGAAATTATCCATACCACGTTTAGACTAAACAAGAGACAATGTTTGGACTAAACAAAATTAATGTTTGGCTCCAAATTTGGAAATTATTGAATGGCACCCAGCAGTTTTCATGTTCTGTGGTCTTCAATTCTATATCTTGACGACTCTAAACTTTGAAAAAATATTCTCTAAAAGATCCCTGCTTATAGAAATCGTCGAATAATTTTTGTTTAAAAAATCCCCGCTTTTAGAAATTATATTTTACGTATAGAAAAATATTTTTAATCTTATATTTTTAAAATCAACGCTTACAGTAGTCTTCAAAAATATTCTTTAAAAAGTCCTCGAAAAATATTCTTAAAAAAATCTATGCTAGTAGCGGTGCTCTTTAAAAAATCCACTCCTTGTAGCTAATTAAAGAAATATTGTTTTCTCATAAAACTACAACCCTTGTTGGGTGTTAAAATGTAATCAAATGTAATTTCCAGCTGTTACAAAGTTATAGGATAAAATATAATTTTTATACCCTCTTATTGTAATTGTATATAAAATACACATTTCACTTTCATTATAATCCCAAGTATTTTTCCATAAAAACAGAAAAAAATCCCAAATAGCTTATGAAAAAACCCCATTCATTTAATTTTTACCCGCTCAAAGTCAATGTTTGTTACATTGACTTTGAGCGGGTAAAAATATGATATGAAATATGACACAATTACACAGCCAGTTAAACATAGCTACTTAAACATTAATGTAATTACTTTTTTTAACAATTTCCTCTCTATTTTTTGTTTAAATAACAACAAACATTTGGTGACAAATAAACGAACGGAAGCAAAATACATCAATGAAAACTCATAAAAGAAACCACAAAAACCAGTTGCATTTCCAGCAAAAAAGAAACAAAAAGACTTGTTTGGAACTTGTCACCTTATTATGGTAATTGTAATTAAAAAAATATAAACAACAACAAAAACAACAACTAGAAAAAATCTTGGTCAAATCTAATTAAAAAAGTTCACTGAAGTCAACATGGGTGAAGTGGGCAATAAATCACAATATTAGAAAAATAACTGCCAGCTATGAAAAGAAGATGAAAAACTAAAGACTTAAGACCCGAACACATTTTATTTCACAAATGGCTATCGTTTCAATCAAAATTGTGGTGGATGATGATGTTGTTGCAGTTGTTGTTTTTTTTTCTCATATTTCTCACAGTTTAAATTTTAATGGAAAATCACCTTAGCTTCTGATATTTTTGTTTTGTTTTCAATTTTTATAAAATCTCAGACTCTTTGTAATATTTTTGCAAGACATTTCAACAAAGATCAAATCATCACTTTTACTTAACAGTTAACAGAGATATATTTTTTGGCCGATAGATAGCTTTTGACAATGTTCAACAATTCATGACGTATATGCATGCATACAAATTGTTCATAAATAGTTAGACACACACACATGCACTTGTGTGTGTGCATGTAGGCAGCAAAGCACTTGCAACTGACCTTTTAAATATTGACACAACAAATGCGTTACAAAGTGAAATATGTTAACTACTCTCGAAACCTTATGTGGTGGTGTGTGAGTGGCTGTGTGTGTGTGTTTTGGTTGTTTGGCTACAAATGAATGGCCATAGTTTACCACATGAAGGAAGGAGAATATACAGCAGACATCATACAACTTGGCAACAATCATTTTTGGCCAACGAAGAAAAACAACTTACCACTGAAATAAATAAAAACAAAAACAAAAAAATGAAGATGCGCCAACATGTCAGTGGGGAAAAAAGTAAATTTATTTTACATACAGGCAGACGACTCTGTACACAAAGATCAGCTCATATTTGTTTGAACATTCAGAGTAGCAACAACCTTTAGAAGAACAACAACTAACAAAAAAAAACAATAATCAAATGAAGTTTATTGAGATTTACTAGAAAATAAAACTGCATCATCCCAACCACAGCACATGGATGGGAATGCAATTGATAGAGTAGTGACGTCAAATGGAATATATGAACATACATATATACATAATGTATGTACATATGTATATGTACGTACATATGCATATGTATGTACATATGTAATTATATTGCAGGTTTTTATTATGGGAATTGTCGTTTTTTTATTTTGTTTTTTATTTCTTGTTGAATTTACAATAACAAAAACAAAAAAAATGGTGAAAATAAACAACAATAAAATAAATTGTTTTAAAAACATCGTCTTCCTGTGTGGTTGTTGTTTGTTTTGCAAAAATTAACCTATTGCAATTGAAAATGAAATGTTTTGACGTTGTTGTATGTGTTTGAAATAATTGTCATGTGGGGGCTATAAATCATTGTGATGCAGGGATGCAACTTACATGCAGGGCTGAAGGGAAGAGGTCACAATGATTTTTTTCAACGACATAATCACATTTGTCAATGTAGCCTAGGCTCGCGACCACGTTTGGGCTAAACAATAATTATTTTTTAATTGGTGCCTAATTTGGTTCTTATTCTGGTTTTTGTCTTCATATATACAACATACAACATTGGGACTAAAAACGAGGCCCTGTTTGGTCTAAACTAAATTATTGATTGGCGCCCAATATAGCTCTGATGTTATTCTCTACACCAAGCTTGGGCTAAACTAAATTATAGACTGGCGCCCAACTTGGAATTAATCGATTTGCGCTCAACTTGGTTCTAGACTTCACCTTCATGCCACGCTTGGACTAAAAACGACGCCAAGTTTGGGCTGGACAAAACTGTTGACTGGCACCCAACTTGGAAATTATACATTGGCGACCAACATGGTTCTAGTCTTAATATCCATGCCACAAAATAGTCACTTTGGGGCTGAAAAAAATTATTGATTGGCACCCAACTTGGAAACTATCCATACCACGTTTAGACTAAACAAGATAACACGATTGGGAAAAAAATTTTTGATTGGCGCCCAAATTGGTTCTTATTCTGGCACCCAACATGGTTCTGATCTTCTTCCCAACACCATGTTTGGACTAAACAAAATTATTGATTGACGCCCAACATGGGAATTATTGATTGGCGCCCAACTTGTTTCTAGTCTTCATCTCCATACCACGTTTGCACTAAAGACGAGGCCTTGTTTGGGCTAAACAAAATTATTTATTGGCGCCCAACATGGGAATTATCGATTAGCGCTCAACTTCGTTCAAGTCTTCATTTCCACCACGTCTGGACTAAAGACGATGCCAAGTTCGGGCTGAATAAAATTATTGACTGGTGCCCAGAATGGAAAATACTGATTGGCAAACAAAATGGTTCTTATTCTGGCGCCCAACATGATTCTGATCACCTCCTCCACACCACGTTTGGACTAAAAAATTAATAATTGGCGGCCAACTTGGAAACTATGGATTGGCACCCAAAATGGTTCTTATTCTGGCGCCCAATCTGGTACTGATCTTGTTCTCCACACCACGATTGGACTAAACAAAATTATTGTTGCTAGACTTCATCTCCATGCTACGTTTGGACTAAAGACGGGGCCATATATGTCATAGACAATTTGGAGTCGATTTACAAATGTCCGTCTGAAAGATGGGGAAAATCGGTCGACTCCTACTTGTACCTCTCCCACAGAATGGTAAAAATTGAGCTGAAAATGCATTTAATAATATCATGGGAACAGAGCATCCGAACCTAATATTTTAATCCTACCCATATTTTGGAATATGGGGCTTATTGGCCCACTTTTTCTTGTATCTCCCCACAGAGGGTCAACATTTTGAAACATTTTAATTCTTATATAAAACGAACTGAATATCCAAAATTTTGCACACCATAATACTTTTTACATAGCCTAGATCGAACCGAAGATGTGACCCATCGTTCCACTCCTTCTGGTTTAACAAGACAAGTGATATCGACTTGGATTTTGCTTTTCGATTCGGAATGTATCATTGCCGTAGTAACAGCAATAAATTATTCTTATAGAAGTTCATAAAGGTTTCTTACAGGAGGTTTTCTCACATAAAAAACCATAAGGTTTGAACACCAGAACTTTATCCTACAGAAGACCAAAAGTCCGACTTCAAGAAGTTCAAAAGCGCTTCTTGTAGATAATCAGACTACATAAGAAGCCCATTAGATCTCCCTAATGAAGTCCAAAAGGCATTTTTTAGATGATCAGAAGGCTTTATCATAGAATAACTGTTGGTCTTCTAGATATTCTCCGCAACGGATTTTTATAGAACAACAGGAGCTCTTCTCATTTATAGTCAAAACGTCTTTTCATAGAATACCAGAATATCTTGTCGTAGAAGACTAGAATATACAAATTATAATGAGAACAAGTTCAGGGAAATATTTTCCCTTCGGATATAAGGAACAACGCAACATGATCTTCTAAATGAAGGCCTACTAAAAAGTTCTCCTTTTTAGCAAAACTTAATTTCCCTCTAATGGACTTAACGTTAGACTTTTCTGTTCACAGAATCTGTCTGTTTTCAATCTCCTCCGTCTCTGTTGCTAACTCAAATTTCAAATATTTTTTTATTTTCCCATGAAAACACCACAAGATTTTCCTTCCGCCTTAACATTGTTGTTGTTGTTATTTTTGGCAAATGTCAAATGGTAAGGTCATTACAAAGACATTGCATAAAATTTAGACAGATACATTAACGATAACAGGAGGCTAATGAAAATGAACGTGACTGTATTTCCCGAAGATTTAAACAATGATCAATGATTGTCTTGGTTTTCTTACAATGCGACTGCCAAAAACATAAAATAAATCCCGACAATGGGAAACTGATTAACATTTCATATGAGTTCGATTTACATTTTACGGTAAATAGAAGCCATTGGCAGATATGAGAAAACTAGACTTTCTCCTAGACAAAAACAATCAATGAATAATTCAATTTATGAACAATTTTCTGAAATGTAAACACCTTTGGCCATTTTTTTTAAGTATTAAATCATTTTTATTATTATATATTAATAATATAATTTCTTTTTTGCTTTTCTTTCAGCCTGTATCTCTTGCTGCTAGTCTCCCTGTGTTGTCTGATCGGCTATGGCCATACAGCGGCCACAGATAGTTTAATAGCCTCGGCGACCACTGCCAAACCACAGGCCTTTCAATCACGTTCCATTGAGGCCAACGATGATGATCTCTTTGAGACCCAGGCTCAAACACATTTAGGTTATAGACAGCAGCAACAACAACCCCTGTATGATTACTCCCAATCGGAAGAGGATCAAGAGGAGCCACCACGTCCCGTCTATCAGACACGTAAACAACAACAGCAACCCTATCAGGGTGGTAAGGGCGGCAAGAAACAGTCAAGCGAAGAAGAAATTGAGGAGGAAGAAGAAGAGCCGGATCGTTTGTCATTGTTGTTGGCCCAGTCGAAATTCAATTGTAATGGAAAGACAACAGGGTGAGTCAAACACAAAATCATTTTATAAAAATACTTCCCTAATAAAAATCGTTTCTTTCGTTATAGTTACTACGCCGATGACACGCTCAACTGCGAAGTATTCCATTATTGTCAGGAAAATCAACGTCACTCCTGGATATGTCCTGAAGGCTTTACCTTCCATCAAATCCATTTGATTTGCATGCCACCTTCCAATGATAACCTCTGTCAGCAGTCATCCAAATATCATATTGTCAATGAATATTTATACAAACCAGTCAATCTGCAAGAACATCAAAGCAAACCCAATGTAACTCTACGCTATTCGGAACGTTATTATCCTGAGAATTTCTACGATCAAGATCGTGATCGTTATGATGAAGAGGATGAGACACCCAGACAACGTGTCCAACATCATAGACAACCTGTAAGTATTTGAGACAGGACAGTTTATAAAAGACAGGACAGTTTTCTAATGGACGATCAGTATCCCTTTGGTCGACCAGAATGTGTCTTTGTGTGGATCTGAAGGTCATTTTATAGGAAACCAGTAGAACGTCTATTGGAAGATAATCATGACATCTTAAGAAGACAAGCAAATCGTCGTACTGAATACCAAATGTTTGTTCTATAGCAAATTAAAAGCTCACCTTATAGAAGACCAGAGGATCTTCCCATAAAAGACCAGAAGATTTTTCCACAGAAGACGAGAATCTTTTTAAAGAAGGTCTGAACAACAGTATTGACTAGTGCTCAAGTTGGAAATTATTGATTGGCGCCCAACTTGGTTCTTATTCTGACGTCCAAATGGGTTCTAGTCTTCATCCACGTTTGGACTAAAGATGAGGCCATGTTTAGGCTGAACACAATTATTGACTGGCGCACAACATGGTTCTGATCTGCTTCTCCACACCAGCAATTATTCTCCACAAAGGCATAAAGCCAGAAGATCTTCTCAAAAAAAAAACCAGAAGGCATTGTCATAGATCAGCTAGTGGTGACAGACATGAATGTTCTTCATGGAAGACCAGAAGATTTGCTCGTAGAAAACCAAATGGCCTCCTCCAGATTTTCTTCTTACCGAAACCATATAGGCCTTCTTATAGAAGATCAGGAGGACTGCTTGTAAACCACCGGAAAGATATCCTATGGAATAGTAGAAGGTATTCTTCTAGTAGGCCAAAAGGTATTCTCCAAAAGACCAAACGATATTCGCCCAGAAGACCCTATGGTCTTCTCAGAGAAGTCCAGATTGTCATCTAACCGAAAATCAATAGGCCTTCTAATGGAATACTAGCAGGACAGCTTATAAAACAGCAACAGGTCTTTTTGTAGAAGACCAGAAGATCTCCTAGACGACAGGGAGGTTTTCATAGGAAAGATCAGAAGGTCTTCTCCTAGAAGACCAAAAGATATTCTCCTAACGGACCTGAATGTATTCTCCTAGAATACCAAAAGGTTTTTATAGAAGTCCAGATTGTCCTATTGACTTTCTCATTGAAGTCCAGATTGTCCTCTATCCGAAAACCAGGAGGTAATTCTATAGAAGACTTTTTGACCTTATCATAAAAGAGCAGCAGGATATATCTTAAAATTTCAGATTAATTTCTTACATAGGGTCAGGAAATATACTAGAGTCAAGATCTTGTCATACAATACCAGACTGACCTTCTGCTTCTAGTAGAGAAGCAGTCTTTTCATAGAGAACCAGAGTACTAGACCAGAATATATTCTCATAGCAAACTAGAATTTCTTTTCAAAAATGCCAGAAAGTGTTCCAATAGAGGACAATAAGGTCTTCTCATAGAAAAACAGAAGGCTGTTCATGGAAGACCAGAAGATTTTCTCATAGAGAGCCACAGTAATAGACCAGATGGTCTTCTCATCGCATTCTAGAAGGTCTTCTCGTAATTGCAAGAAAGTCTTCCCCTAGAGGTCCGAAGGTTTTCAGCTTCTTTTATAGAAGCAGCCTACTCATAGTGAACCAGAGTACTAGACCAGAAGATATTCTCAAAGCCCACTAGAATGTCTTCTCATAAATATCAGAAAGTCTTCGCATAGAAGAAGAAGGTCTTCTTATATCAGAGCAGAAGGTGTTTTCATGGAAGACCAGAAAAATTTCTCGTAGAGAGCCGCAGTAATTGACCAGATGATCTTCTCATCGCATTCTAGAAGGTCTTCTCGTAATTGCAAAAAAGTCTTCCCCTAGATGTCCGAAGATTTTCATAGAAAATCTAGAAGACTTCTCATGGAAAACCAAAAGGTTTTCTCACAGAAAACCAGAAGGTCTTTTCATTGAAGGTCTGAAGGTTTTCTGATAGAAAATCAGGATTTCTAATAGTAGAAGGATCTCTCAAAGGTCTTCGTATAGAAGTTCTAAAGATCTCGTTCCTTTATCACGATCATAAAATTTGCATACAAAACATACAGGGTTTCTTATCAACGACTAGTATGTCTTCTCATGACAAATCGGGAGGTTTTCTAATTGAAGAGAAAATTTACTTCTCATAAAAGGCCAGAAGAGCTCCTTATAAAAGATCAGAAGGTTGTTTCATAAAGGGCTAAAGGACTTCAGAAAATGAAATTGATCTAAGAATGAACCCGAGGTTCTTTTCTAAAAACCTGAAGGTTTTTTGAGGTCAAACCAGAAGTTTTCTTGTGCTTGATTTAATTTATTAACATAATTTTTAAATACAACTTCTAAAACTAATTTAATTTTTTCCCTCAGCTCCAAGTTGGTTTCAATCGTCAACAGCAGCAACAACCTCAACAGCATCAACAACAACCCCAACAACATCATACTCAACCACAATACCAAAGACCCCAAACCTCGGTGGCTCCTCTGCAACAACCCATTCGCCATCAACCCGTACAGCAGCAGCTGCAACAACCGCAACAACAATACTCTCAACCACAACAAACAACCATTTATCGTAAACCACTGCCAGTGACCACAATTCAACCTCAAATCCAACCACAAATTCAACAAATTCGTAGCCAAGCCCCTACCCCTACAGCTACACCATCACCCTATCGATTCTTTACTGCCGCTCCGCAATTACATCATTTGCAACAGCAGCAGCCTCAACATCAACAGGTTTATAGAACTCCTGAAGAAATCAACATTTCACTGCAGCAAAGACGTCCCCAAATCTTTATAGCCAGCACTACACCGCGTTACTATGAAGATGAATATTTGTATGAAAGAAAATAAACCACTCCAACCGAGAGGGTTTATTTTCGCACCACTTTTTTCTAACTCCTATTCCTGAGCATACTCAAATGTAAAACGAAACCCCTCCACAGTTATCTTTGCCAACATTCATGACCCCCATTTTTTCAGCCTCCAAGGCCCACAGTATTTGGATAATTATTTGTTTCACCTGATTTCACCTCTATTATTTACATTTTGTCGATATTTCACATACATTTATTTAATTCGTATTCATTTTTTTAACTTTTTATTGCTTTATATTGTTCTACTACTACAACAACTACATTTTCTAGTTATTTTTTAAGTTTAATTTAATTTTTTATTAAGTTTTTCTTTTTTTATTGCAATTAATGAAAAGAAGAACAAATACTGCGAATATAGTCCCATATATAGAAAACAAAATACTCCTTATAACAAAAAAAAAAAATAAATAAAATATTAAAACAAAAAATGAGATTTATTATGTTTTGATTATAAGTATTTGATTCTAGTACGAATATGAAATAAAATATATGTTTATATAAAAAATGTTGAAAAAAATATTATTTCTTTTATTCATTAGGGGGGAATAGATTTTAAAATAACGAATGTTAGTAGTTTGGCCCGTGTTTACATTAGAGCGCCGGATGTGTGGTATTAGCACTACTTGATAAATTTACTCAGCAAGAAACCAAGACTTTTCTCAAGTCAATTGTCAAAAATTTGAACTTTGTTTACGTTTTCATAATGGACGACAATTCACAATAATTAATTTTGAATGTTAACTTGAGTGCCACCAAGATCTATTAATAAGGTCGCCAAGATAGCAATCGAAATCGGAAAACAGCTGTTTTTTCTTAAGTCTAATGTCAAAAATTTCGACTTTGTTTACATTTTCATAATGGAAGTCAATTCACAATAATGCATTTTGACAGCAAACTTGAGAGGTATCGATAATCAGCTGGTCTCCCTTGGTGACCTTATTTATAGGCCATGAGTGCCACCTAATATCCAGCTGGTCTCCCTCTGGATATCAATAGGCCTTGGCCCTATCAATAGGCCTTGGCGACAACTTTCAATTTTAGTCAGCTGTTTTTGAAACAGACGTTTTAAAGTTCATTTAAATCGCGTTCAGATTATGCCCTCAAAAATTGTTTAGACTAGTTTAAATATAAAGCTAGTTAAACTAAATGCTAGTCTGTATACAATCAGCTGTTGTTGTTGGCGTATTATACGTACATATCATAATTAATACGCCATTATATTAAAATTTTATTATAAATTTAAACAAAGTCTATAACGAAATTATTAGCTGTTGCCTTATTTTTGTTAGGTAACTATTTTGAATTTCAACATATTTTAGGGGATGTGATTCATTTCATGGTACCAAAGCCGAATTGTATTTGAAGTTATCTCAATTTAGCATAAGATTTCGAATAAATCGAGATAATGGGTGGATTTGGTACCACGATTTCAAATGCATAGTCTGAATGCGTTGTACGGTAAATCGAGGTAAATTTAGCTCGGTTTAGGTATTAAATAGGTATAAGAGCGCTTTCGACTATGCCTTTTACATCTGGGTTCTAAATCGTATTTAGACGAGAAGTGCGTTTGGACTACACATTAACTCGATTTAATTCCTAATTGACCAAAATTTATCGTACGAATTAAATCCACTCAATTTGCTCAAAAACCTATGCTAAATTGAAATAATTTAAAATACAACTCTGACATCTCCTTAAAATTGAAAATTGTTTATGTTTATAGCTTATTTTTTAGTATTAATTTTTTTAATAATAGTTTTTTGGTTGATACCATGGTCTAATTATTACAAGGTAGGGCATAACTACCATCTGATTACACTCTTTTCTCAAAGGGGCTTGTTCTATCAAATCAAAATACTTATTTGGTGGAAATGTGTGTATTATTTTGAATACCATGTCAAATAAATTAAAATTCAGCTGAAGTATATTCAAATTTAATTGAACTGAAAATGAATTTTCCGCGTTCATCTCGAAGTAATAACTTTGTTATGAATGAAACAAAGTTTTAACGTCATTCCTTACTTTATTATAGAAAGAGATCATAACATTCCATTTTTTCTAGTCGCATAAACACAACAACCTGTTGCGAATATTTATTTTATATTTGTCAGAAGAAGCCATTACGTACATAGTTGAATTTGTGTTATTCACTCAAGCTGTTCTACCTTGTATTATTGTATATTAATGTATTGGTTATTATTTATGTTTATTGTTTATCCCAATCCGTTTTCCATTCTTTAGAATGGTGTATATTGTATTAATATTATGTTCAATTTGATTTATAACGTGAAACGAGTCGGACAACTTCCTTATGGAATTGTCAGAAATAATAATGGATATAAATTCAAACTATTTGTTGTTGTAGACAATAAAAATATTGTAGTCATTACAAAAATCGTGATTCTTTTGCTGATACTTCTATCTTCTTAAATTTGCCTTGATATAAATGGAGCCTAATCCTCTCTTCACATTGCCAGCTATTGTATTTGGTCGGCGTCTGCAATACACGACAACTGTCAACGATGCCCTGTGATTAGTTCACCCGGTTCCATTCAGTGAACATTTCAGTTGCGTTCATTCCATAGCGTTACAACTCTACCGGTGACTCCTTGCATTTGTTTAACGCACACCTTTACTCCGTAAATTTCTGCGTATCCTTGAAGATATCCTTTAGAAAAATGTCACAAGGCGGTGGTGAATCCTATTACGAAGCGTTTACTCCAAAAATTAACGATGTGGCGCAAAAGTATATTGACGATTTGTTGGCGGAAAAATCTAGATTGCCTAAAGAATTTACACTTTGTGCCCAAGTAATTGACGATGGTATGTAATGCTGCGGAGAAGCATCAAAAAATGCGCCCCCCAACAAAATTTATTACGAGTTCTTTATAATTTTTTATTATTTAATATTTTCTTTTATAGCCATTGATCGTATTTATGCCACCGGACGTATACCCGGTAAAGAGTTGCAAGCTGATGTCTACAAACAGCTGCCAATAAAGGTGACACAAAATGTCCATATACCCGTGAAACAATTTCCCAAATTTAATTTTGTTGGCAAGCTAATTGGCCCGAAGGGTCATAGTCTTAAGAAATTGAATCAGGAAACCTTATGTCACATTGCCATTAAGGGCCGTTCCAGCATGCGTGACGAAGAAAAAGAAGAAGCACTGCGTCAATCTGGTAATCCGGCATTTAATCATCTCAATAGGAATTTGTTTGTAGAAATAAGCACTGTTGCACCGCCAGCCGAAGCATATGCTCGTATAAGTTATGCCTTGGCCGAGATACGTAAATATATTATACCGGATAAAAATGATGAAATATCTCAGGAACAATATCGTGAACTTATGCAAATGCATCCTGAATATACTAGAAGCAAGGCATCGGTTGCATATAGGTAAGTTATTAGAGAAATATATTTTTTAATAATTTATTAATTGGTGTTTGCATTAGGTCAGTTTTGGGTAAATTTGGCGGCAGTGATAGTTACAGAGGTTACCATGGATCTGAGTAAGTATCTGTAGGTCATTTAAATATTGATTATAATAATTAATTTATTAATTATTGTACAAATTGCCAGATATGATGACTACGATGAATATGAACCTCCATACACAGCACCAGCTTTACCACCACCGCCAACAATTTCCTCCAGATCTGCAGGAAGTTATAGGGGTAAGTTGACACAAGTTTCTAAATTTATTTTTTAGGAGTCGAATAGAATTGCGATTATAATGTGTCCCCAAAATGTATAAAAACAAAGTTTTTCAATTTATTTAGCTTGTAATTCAAAGCCCTTAGCCCCATTGAAGATAAACAACAAAATGCATACGAATCACTTAACCTAATAAAGGATAAACTTACAAAAAATATAATAAAAAGTAAAAAAGAAATAAATTCATACATTCATAAATTGTCTTCAACAATGACGTGACAACCAGTGGGTTTTCTGCAACAAAAAAAATTATTTTCTTCCTAATTTTAATTTTTGAGAACTCCATTTAAATGTTGCCCATCCTCATTTCACGTTATAATTCGAATTGAAAGTGATATTAATACAATAAATGCCTACGCAATTTAGCATTTTCAAAAGTACATTGCATTCCAAAATGTATTGTGATAAAAATATTTTTTGTAGCATTTGAAAATAAATAAAATACATATATATTTAAAAACTAAAAATAAATAATAATAAATAAATTAATAGCAACTAAAACAATAAATTTATTAAAATATAATACTAAAAAAATAACTTTTTATAGCTCCAGCACCAAGACGTCCTCCAGAACCATCAGTATTTCACGATCGTAAAGAATATCGGCCAAGACCATACCAGTCGTTTCCTTTGTTTAAAAAGTAAATAAACAGAAGGACTTTATAAATTTCAGCAATGACGATTTTCAAAATAATACGCTATAAAAACATACACACACTCTCAGAAACTCACAACTAAAATCAACGTTGCAAGAAAAAAATAAGAAGAAATATGAAATGTTCCACCACCATTAAAAGCCTACAAAATAATTCATATTTACAATTATAATTAAAATAACAACTATAATTTTGTATGACTATTGCAACAACATATATTCATAATGATTATTAACAATAACAATGATTCAATAAAATCGATAAATACTACATTATAACTCTGATAATTGTAAAACAACGTACATATATGAAAAATAAATAATAAAATATAAATATTAAAGAATTTAAATTAGATTTATTATAATTATAAATATATGTTAAAGTACAGCTAACTGGTAAAAATGAAAATCTAATGGTAATCAGCTTCCAGAAGAAGATCCAACAAATCGTGTTTAAAATTGTATTGTACGTAAATTGCCATACCTCCGGCAAATACCCCTATATGAAAGGAAAAAGTCAAGTAAGGCAAATTTCCTGGCAAGTTGTGAATGATGATGCCATCGGTTTAGGTGAAAAAAATCAGTGAAGTTAAAGCTTATGATTCCTGCTGTCAAGTATCGAACAACGACCAAGGTCCATTAAACAGGTCGTGTAAGAAGCGAATGCTATCGGCCGAAAATACCTTTATTCTTTCAATTTTTTTATGTTGACAGCATCAGGCTTTATCGGACTACCTTATTATTGGGACATGACGACAAGCTCATCATCTATATCATTCTATATAAAGTAGACGTGGGTTTTGCTCCAGTTCAGTGGTTATAAAAAACCTCCTAACAGGCTATGGTTCGACGTAAGTCCCATATAAAGGTCCCGAGGTATTTATATATTTTGATCACATCAATGTGGAGGACGTTAAAAAAATTGTACAGACCAAGAAACGTAGACCAAGTTACTATTGTAACCTATAGCACACGATGATCTTGATTACGATGATATACCTTTCTTCTTGTGGCATTCCGGATATGACACCCTTGTATTTTCTCATGGTTTTTAAAATTTACTAAGGTAAGCAATATGGAAATATGCACGTTTTTCTTATCGAAAACTTGAGACACGAGACTCCAAAATTCGGCGGCAAAATTCTCTAAAGCAATATGAGTATCATTAAAGAATGATTGAAGTAAGGACTGCAAATATTTTCTTATGAAAAAAGTCTGTCTGCTGGTCCCCACGAAAATTTTCGAAGGGAGTACAGGATTTCATCCAAACTTTGCACATCGTAATATTTCCTCTAAACTTAGTTCAAGTTCGAATATGATAAATATCAATCCACTCCTTCTGGTACCTCCCCCATAAAATGGTCAACATTTAGCTGAACATTAATTTTGTAATAACATGCGACAACCTAATATTTTTAAAAAGACAGCATATTTTTGCAACGTAGGTCTTATCGGCACATTCCTTCTGGTACCTCCCCCAAAAAGCGTCAATATTTTGAATATATATATATATATATAAATAGATTTAATGATGGAATGCCCGATTTGCTCCAATACTTTGCAAATTGTAATATTTTTTTCTAACCTAGATCATGTCCGAAGTTGGGGGTCATCGGTCTACTCCTTCTGGTACCTCTCCCTCAAAGGGTCAAAATTGTGAAATTTTTTAATTTAATATCAAATGGAATGTCCGATTTAATCCAAGCTTAAACCTAGATCATGTCCGAAGATGGGACCCATCGGTTCACTCATTCCTGTGCCTATCTTACAAAGGGTTAACATCTTAATAATTTGTTAATCCAATATTAAGCGAATGGTAGATTCGGGTGTAAAGCAGGGATGTATCCTCAGTCCAATGTTATTTTCACTATACCTAAATGATCTACACGATATTCTTCCAGGCGGACTTTATGTTGCAAATACCAACATAAAAATCTTACTCTATGCTGATGATATTGTCATATTATCAAATACGCCACAAGGACTACAGGAAATGATTGACGTACTATGTGATTATTGCCTCATGTGGAGCCTTAAGGTCAACCTCGCAAAATCAAAAATAGTTGTCTTCAGAAATGGTCCGAGAATTTCAAGAGACCTTTATTGGCATTTTGACAATCAGGATATTGAAATTGTGAATAATTATAAATACCTGGGAGTTGATTTGTCCTATAACTTATCTTTCAATAAGCATATAAAAAACAAGCTCTCTGCCTCCAAAATAGCTATAAACTCTACATGGTCAAAATATCTATCCAACAAAGAGATATCACGTAAAAGCAAATTAAAAATATTTGATGCTTGTTCAAAATCAATAATGCTATACGCTGCACAAGTTTGGGGATATAAAAGAAACGATGATATGGAAAAACTGTTTCGCTTTTTTATTAAAAGAGTATTATTTTTACCTGAAAACACTCCGAACTACTTGCTTTATATTGAAACAGGTTGGAATACTCTTTATGTTACTTCACTAAAATTGCATTTCTGTTATGTTAATAAAATATTACGCCTTAACCCCCTAAGACTACCACGAATTTTAGCCGAAGAAATTATACGCCGCGATATAAGTTGGGCCAAAGACTGGTCCAACCTTTGTTTATCACTAAACTACTCTCCTCCAGCGAACAATGTCCCTATGTGTCACTTCTGGAAGGAAATACTGTCTGCATTGGTCGCGAAAGAACGTCAAACATTCTTCACAGAAGCCTCATTTTCTCAACATCACGATCTATATGCCCATCTGCAATATGATCGAATATCAAGCCTAACAGATAAACTAACTGCGCGAGCGGCTAGCTTAGTCATAAAAGCTAGAGGTGGTCTACTGAAATTAAACGCTAGCTGTTTTAGAAATACTGATACCATTTGCTCAATGTGCAACTTGAACGTAGAGGAAAACACTTTTCACTTTATTGGCATTTGCCCGATATACAATCAATACAGAATGGCATATTTTGGAAAGGTTTGTCTTACTTTAAGTGAGGTGTGTATGATATTAAATGGCTCTAATTTCGAATCGCTGTATAAGTATTTAGAAATTTGTATAAGATATAGAAATTTAATATTAAATGAATTCAACTATTGAATACTAATTACATAAATATTTTTTGGGTGAAAATTATATAATTTTTAATGGCTTACAGCATAAAGCTAGCCATGTATTATAGATTTAATTTTGTACAATACATTTACTTTTTTGTAACTGTAATATTAATAAATCTATTAATAAATATATATATATATATATATATATATTAAGCGACTGGAATATCCTATTAGATCCAAAGTTTGCATATCATAAAATTTTACCTTGGCTAAATCATGTCAGAAGATGGGACCAATCGATTTACCCCTGCTGGTACCTCCCCCACAAAGGATAAACATTTGTTAATTTAATATTAAATAAATAGAATGTCCGATTTGGCCTAAATTTTGCAAATTGTAATAGTTTTACCAAACCTAGATCTTTCTGGTACTTCTCCCACAAACCTTCAAACTTATATTTCTATAAAGCAACCCATTTAACCTCTCCACAGATGGTCAATTATTTTATAGAAAAAACATATAGCTCATAGTAATTCCGCAGATCTCCGCTGGGGTACCATCTGTCGGTATCACCAACTGACACTTTTATACTTGCTTGCTATAAAGGACATTTACTAAGGACTAAATATATTGGCACAATATTTATTAAGAGAAGATTCTTTTGTGTAACCGCAGTTGGCATCTGTCCATATCTACCTACCAGTACTATTCTAGATTCTCCCGCATAGCCGAAGTTGGTAACTGACCATAGGTGAAATTTTTAAAGTTTTAAATCCTAGGCCGGCCACACATCATCGAATTATAAATTTGGGTATCCATTTTTAGAAAGTATGGTGTTATTAGATATGAAAATGAAAATTTTAGAAATCGGACTTTACTGCAGAAATTTGTCGAGGCTCATAGAAAAGGAAATATGGATTTCCACAAAAAATAAATTATATCGTTATAATCAGGGCCTCTAGGAATACCAAATGTAAAAATTTCAAAAAATATCCGCATGCGGGCCCTAAACTAGATTTGTTACAAAGTCTGTTATTGTTGCTGAAATTGCCGGAAAATTGTCTGCACTTCTGAGGCAAATTTTTTGCTTACTCATTTTTGCTACGAATTCAATTGAAATTCCACAAATTTTAACATGCCCATTCAATTTCCATCCCTTATGTCTTTGTACGCATTTTCGTACCATTTGTTGTATGAACATTTCAGCGTCAACAGTGAGTAGTGGCCTATCAGTGTTACCGCAGCAATCATACAAAGAAGACGTTCAAGCGCACCGTAAACATACCAACAACGGCAGCAGAAGAAGCAACAACAAACATTCAGTGAAAGACAGTCAGACAAAATGAGTTATGATAATGAAAAACACAACAGTGATGGCTATGTACCCAAGATTAATCAATATGCCCAGGAATATATTGAAGCCCTACGCAAGGAGGAAGCTCGATTGCCCAAAGAATTTCCATTATGTGCCGAATTAATAAGAGATGGTAAGTTGTAAAGAAAAACAAACAAAATTGGTCATGTTGAGAATGATGAATGGTAAATTGTGTATGTATACCGGCAAGCAAGCAATGCATTGGCATTGTTGCACTTTAAACGGAAGCAGCACAGTTGTTGGGAGATGAATTACAAACATTATTCGATTTTAAATAAAATGCGAACATGTTATTACATGTTCTTCTTTTTACTATAGCAATGGATCGCATTTATGCCACCGGTCGCACCCCTGGCAAAGAACTCAAAGCCGATGTCTTTCAACAGAAACCAATTAAACTCACGCAAAATGTCTATTTGCCCGTCAAACAATATCCAAAATTTAATTTCCAAGGAAAAATATTGGGTCCCAAGGGTAATACACTAAAACGGTTGCACCAGGAAACACTTTGTAGTATTGCAATTAAGGGACGTAATTCAATGCGAGATCAAGAACGTGAAGAGATGCTACGTCAATCCGGTGATCCTGCCTACAATCATCTGAATAAAAATCTATTTGTTGAAATATCAACGGTGGCACCACCTGCCGAAGCTCATGCTCGCATGGCTTATGCCCTTACAGAGATTCGTAAATACATTATACCCGATAAGAATGATGAAATCTCACAGGAACAATATCGTGAGCTAATGGAAATTGATCCGAAATTGGTAAAGTCGACATTTGGCATTAAGACGGCACCACAAAAGTGAGTATTTTGAGTTGTGGATAGGTATTTATTAGTTAAGTAATTTCTAATTATTTCCTTTAATTTGTTGTTCTAGATCAGTTTTTCAAAAATTGGCTGCCTTGAGTCAAAAAGAGTAAGTTTTTTCTTCAAGTTTTTTTTTTAATATAATACGGTTAGGTCCATACTATTGACCATTGGGATCATCCTTTATACCTGAAAAGAGAACGGGAAGTGAAGAGTGAAGAGAAGGAGAGGATAGAGATGGTTATTTTAGCCATGTCCCATTTTTGACAAAGCCTAGGATCTGATTGGGATCTATTTTAGAGAAGAAGTCTTGATTATCAATTTCATATCTTTCAAACTGTTTATGACTTGTGCCAAGCAATGGACATATACAGAGGATATGTTCAATGCTTTCTAGCTCTTATTTGTCCTCACATAAACGACAGTAATCCTCTCCGCTGGAGTCCCATTGCGAAGTGAGAGATCTAATCCTCCTGCAGTGATTGTGCCAACAGCGAAGAAGTTATACGGCGAGAGAATTCAGGCCAGATAGCTTATGCGATTCTGCAACCAGGTTCTCTCGATCATCTGTTACCGACAACCTCGCCGTAGAACAAGCGAATTTTGTCAATGTAATAGTGGTTACACAGATCTCGCAAGCTCGTTGGCTATCTTGTTCTCTTATATGTCTCTATGCCCTGGAACCCAACATAAGTTAACTATCCGTCATATATCATTCAGAGCGGACTTGCAATCAAAAAGTGCTTTTGATTTTATAGTACACGACTTCAAAGCCTTGAGGGCCGCCTGACTATCGGCATATATAGTCACCGGTCCCGTATTATCGGCAGTAAGTGTTTTTACTATGCAAGGGGTTTTTTTGCTTGAAAAACGCTGCAAGGTTTGTTAAGTTTATATGGGCTGTATATTTCTAATTACGCACAGTAAACGCCAGCACCAGTACTTCCTTCATCTTTGACTCGTCTGTGAAAAAAGGATCCACTAGTCCAGGATTCCCTACTAGGAAACTCAACTTTGATGTCATTAAAGTTATATCATAATATTCAAGAGCAGTGTTTGGGTCTCCACAATGAGATGAGACAAAGCAAATCTTAATACTAACCAAAACGGGAAATCAGCAGATTGACCTGTATTCTCAGAGAACGTAACAACTTGCAGCCCCCTTTATATAAGATTTGTTGCGAGCGTGTGAAGTCACACGAAACGTTAAAACATTTCCTGTGCCGCTGCCCAGCCTTTTCAAGCATCCGATCCCAATTCTTAGGAAACAACATATATCGTAAAATAACCGACCTAAGGGGATGTGAATGGAAAAAACTGAAGATATTAAACAAAACACAATTCCTAGACGTTTAGGGCAATCAAATCCATCCCGCACAACAGTCCACTTAGTGTATGTCCTAATATTGGACATGTGTTGGTGTAAACCACACCTCTTTTCAACCTAACATCAATTAAAAAAATCGCAAAAGACAAGGGAAGGTCAAAATAAAGATAAAGAAAGTCTCACTATTAGTCTACAGGCACATTTAAACATGATTATAGTACGTTTTCATTGTAAAGGATTTCGTTAACCCAGAGGGTTTCAATTGTCAATTCCATTGCATACATGTCGAATATATTCTCATAGAGTAGTTTAACCCGTAAAAAGTTCTAATGTAAATGCCGTTATAGATGCGTTAGAAACAGCAATTGCAGGGCATTCGGGAAATACAACAACACGTTTAAAAACTTCCTATGTAATTGCCCATTGGGGTGTTTGAGAGAAAAATTCTCCGAAAGATCTACGGGCCGATCTGCGTCGACGGTGAATATCGGCGTCGTATGAACCACGAGCTCTACAATTTATACGCGGACATCGACATAGTCAGTCGTATTGAGCTGCAGCGACTACGGTGGCTAGGCCATGTTGTGCGGATGAATGAAGATGCCCCAGCTCAAAAGGCATATAAAAATGAGCCTACTGATGGTTCCCGTAAAAGGGGAAGGCCACGAATTAGATGGAAAGACCAAGTAGAAAACAACATCTTGGAACGTGGTCTTCCAAATTGGTGGACTTGCGCACAAGACCGAAGCGCTTGGAAATCTTTTTTAAGCTCGGCTTATGGAACAACCGTTCTGTAACAAGCCAGCTAAGTAAGTAAGTATGTAATTGCCCAGACATTTCTAACATTCGAACCCATTTCATGGGATATATTATTCATGACATGTTATGATATAAATGGAAGTGACTGAATGGCCTCAATCTATTTAAACCTGAGTACATATCAGATACATTCCTCATAGCTCTCCATCAAAATCCCATGTCTAAAAAAAATGTTTTAATGTCGATTCAGTGTGACATTTGTTTGTGGGATGTGTGTTTACTTTTTTTTAGGTAAGCCAGCTTAATCCCTTTCTTGTTGTTTTTTATAGTTTAAGATTCATCAGTTCAATCTGAAAACTCATTTATTTTTCTATATTAAAAAATTCCCCTGCCGCCTTTGAGGGCTCTTATTTATGTAGAAAATCTCTGTTCCCAAAAAGGGCGTTTAAACATCCTCTGACCTCTCTGAGGATTTATTATACAGAATAAAATCCTTAGTTTACACTGAGAACTTTTTTTTCGCACAGAAAAAAATATATCGAAATAATTCCATTGACGGTCTTTTATAGTCAGCATCTGCTGTAGATGGAAGACCATAAATATGTTTATTACTAAATATTGAATATGTGATATTAATACACTTACTTGAGTAGTTAGCCACTTGCCAAACATTGAAATATATTATTTTTAGAATAATACCTTCTAAGATATTATTAAGAAATCTTGTTAAATGGAGTAGTATAGTTTGCAATTTAAATGAAATCGGCCTTAATTTTTGGAATAAATAAATAAAAAAAAAAATAGTGATTGATACCGAGTCTAAACAAGCCGAGGTTCTAGATTTTATGACTTTCTCCCGGTTGAAGGGTCTGGGCAAAAAAATCCTTTGATTTAAAATTGAATATTTTAAGAGTTGTATATCGATATAGAATTCTATTTCCAATTTCATATTATTTTCTAAATTTTGATTTATTCTTTCTTCCATTTATAGGTACCATGATGATGCTGACCAATCAAATGGCCATAATTTTCCAGGTAAGATAAAATAAAATTGATTGAAAGATGGAAGTGTTGTGGTTTCCTTTTCAAACACAATACATGATGTGGTCATCCTTTGCTAATAAGGATAATCAGGTATGTGATTTAACTTGAATCTTGTCAACATGTTTTCTTTTAGAGAAGTCAGAAAAAGGGCTTTCTAGAAGAGTTGTTAATATTATTTTCTTCAAAGGTGATGCACATATTACGACTTTCAAAGTCTTGTAGTACTACTTCTAATTAGCTTTAAAGCAGGACTAAGTTTCGTTGAATATTCGACGAGTGTTCATTCGCTGGCGGCCAGGTCTAAATAATACAATGGAAACGGGGAGGAGATCAATGCCCAATTCATGTTGAAATCAGCCCTTTTGAATATTAGTGCTAATCAATTTCAATTTGAATTTCATAAACGAGAATCTAGCCTAAAGGGCCAAGAGAGATTCTAAAAGACAACAAAATATAGACTACTCCAAAAGCTTAAAACTAACAATGCTTAATAATATCTTCAGTTGGAGGGGTTCAGAAACATTGTACTTCAAAAACATTTTTATTATTATAAGGACTACAAGGACTACATTATTATATCTACTCTCAATATCTACCCAAGAAATCACGAAGATTTAGTTGTGTCATCCATGTGTAAATTTTTAATTGACCTATTAATATGTAGAGATCAAGAACTTCTCCATATTAACAGAAACTCGAAATATCTCCCCGATATAGAAGACAAGCAAGTCTTCTATAGAGGTATTTTTTAGAATACCATATATATTGTTAGTTTAAAAAAGATACGGGATATTAATGTAGAAAGTCATAAAAGACGAGGGGAGGTGTAACATAGAAAGTCAGAATGTCTTTTTTCTAAAAGACCATGTGGTATTCTATGTAGAAAATTAATAGGTATATAAAAGACCTAGAGACCTAAATAATTCAAAAATGTCTTTCAAAGGAATTCTATAGAAGACCTTTGCACTGCAATTCAAAAGGAATTCTTTGTAGAAAACCGTTGGACTTCAACATTGAACACATTTTGATCAAGAAGGTCTGACTATATTTTTTCTCAAAAATGACCAAAAGTTTTCCTTAAATCAAACTAGCAAATTGTGTTCTTATATCGTAGGCCTCTAAGTTTCCTATTGTATCCATATAGTCTATTTATATATTAGACCGGAAACCCCAATCGTTTTTATATGTCGAAAACAAGGTGGTGAATTTAAACAATATCGCTAATTAATAATATTTCTACTATAAAAAACATAATAAATACATATAATAAACGAATAACACATGTATAATATTTTAATAATGTATATAAATTATATTACAAAGACCTATATATTTTCAATAATTTTAGAGAAACAAATAAAACGGAATGAAACTGCAACTGTTGTTCCAAGATATAAAAATATACGTAAACAACCATATGCAAGGAATTCACCATTCAAACCTAAACCAAATGCATAAATATACAACATAAATATAAACACCAAAATGAGATATTTTCAAAACTGGATAATATTAGAAATTAAGATAAAAACATAATGATTACACCAAAATTAACAAAAAATATATATCTATTAACATAAATACTCAATATATTATAAAAAATCCAATATGTTAAAAAATACTTATATAAATCTATATTGATATTGAAATATATAAAAAAATAATATTTACTGAGCTTATAAATGAAAAATGCATAAAAATGCAAAGAAAGAGAAAAAAGTATAAAAAATATGAATATAAAAATAATGATATAAAAGAAACTAATTTGAATTTAATAAAACCATACTATACATAAAAATAAAATGAAAAGGTATAATATTTAAAATCTTATTATTACCCATAAAAGTTGAGTAAATTAAAAAAATGATTAATTACAAATTATTAAAATCATTGTGAAATGATTTAATAAGGTTCAATATTAAAACGAGTTATTTTATCTAAACTTTTGAGACATTCTAATAATTTCAGAGCCTTTGCGAAAAGAAATGTGTGCATGCCCCATTGCTCCTATACTCCCATAAATATTTAATTGTACCACTCAAGGATTCTCCTTTGGTAAGTCTAGTTTATAATAAAATATTACTTGTATAGGAATTGTTTATATTGAAATGGAAATAAAATTAATAATAAAAAAATATATTATTTGTTTTATTTAAATTATTTACATTTTTTTTTAAATGTTGACCATGTGTGGGGATGTAATTGAAAGAGTGGACCGATAAATTCCATGACCATGTGTGGGAATGTAATTGAAAGAGTGGATCGATAAATACCATCTTTGGACATTTAATAGCATTATATGGGGCTTCCCTAAAAAGTGGACCAATATTTATCATTTATAGTACATTTTCAATACCAAGCTTCCTAGTGATAATATCAATATATGTGCAAATTTTCATAGCTATATATTTAATATTGCGAGCTCTATCGTAATTTCAACAGACGGACGGACATGCATAAGTCGAAATATTCTGACCTGGGATCTCCTGGACTGATGGCTCCTTACCTCTGTCCAGTCTGTCAATTTTGATAGACGAGTCAAAGATGGGGGGAAGGCACCTACTTTAGGTAATTACTGCAGGTAATTAGAAATGTACAACTCATATAAACTTAACAATCTTTGTAGCGTTTTTCAAGCAGAAATCCTTGCAATCACGAAAGCGGCCGAGATAGTAAAAACACTTACTGCTGATAATACGGTACCGGTGACTATATATGTCGATAGTCAGGCCGCCCCTTAAGTCTTTAAAGTCGTGCACTATAAACTCAAAAGCAGTTATTGATTGCAAGTCTGCTCTGCATTATATACGAAGGATAGTTAATTTATGCTGGGTCCCAGGACATAGCAACATAGAAGGTAACGAGATAGCCGACGAGCTTGCTCGAGGGGGTTCACAATCTTCGGATTGAGAGACCACCCATTGGCTATTTCATTGGCAAAATCCGTTTGTTCTACGGCGAGGTAGTAGGCAACAGATGGTCGAGAGAACCTGATTGCAGCATCTCAAAAGCAATCTGGCCTGAATTTTCTCTCGCTGTTATCCCATAATAAAAGAGGGATTAAAATGGTTGTGGGGATCATAACAGGTCGCTGCAGGATTATCTCTAACTTCAAAATAGGACATCAACGGTGTGGATTATTGCTGTATATGCGAGCAAGAGTAAGAGCTAGAAACAATTGAATATCGCTGGGCGGCAGAAGACACAGACACTGTGGCAAATATGAAATAGATAATCTAGCATTCTTCTACGGAATAGACCCCAAGCTGATTCTAAGCTTTGTTAAGACTTTGAAATGACTAAAATAACCACTTTTCAACTACTCCCGCAACTCCCGCTATTTTTTCTCTCTTCCATTGTTTTTTCAGGTACCAAGGATGGTCACAATGGACAAGAATCTCTGAGTGAACGGTTGTAATAAGCAGCCGTACATCCTGAACCTATGGAGTCTGTGGTGAATATTTCGACGTGCTGCAAGGGGAATGACAAATTTAGTAATTTTGTACAGTCTTGCAGTACTGGAACTGGCCAAAAGTTGAATCAAATCGCCTACTACGTTCGCATGATATGGAGTTATTTTTATGGAAATCTTTAATAATTTTGTAAGCTTTTCGATTTAAAATAAATCGTCTCTTTGGCGGGTTCAAAATTGTTTAAACGATTTGAAACTACTCTTTCAATTGACCACACTTTTTCTAATTGTTGTTAATTTTCATTCACAATAACACCATTTCATTGTGAATTGAAATCACTTTGTTTTGTATAGTCAATAGAGGAGGAATCTGAGAAATTGTATCTAAATAAATTATTTTTCAAAACTAACTTTACAACAACAAAATGAATGACAACAAACATCATGAAGTCGGTGAAGGCTATGTTCCCAAAATCAATCAAGTGGCCCAGAACTACATTGACGAATTGCTGAAGGAGGAGAAACGCTTACCGAAGAACTTTCCTCTTGTGGCCGATTTAATAAGATATGGTAATGTAGTCGATTGTTGGTTTCCGGTAATTGCCGGAAAGCGGTATCTACAAAACTAAAAATATTAGCTAATTAAAACAAAATTTGCATAGGTCAAGTATGAGTTACAGTAGCGGATCGTTTTTAATATTCTGCCACCAGCAATTCGTAGATGCCGGACCATACTCCTTGTTTATTTATTGTGAATCAGTCCTGGTTACAACAATATATTTTTTTCAAAGAAGTCCATACTTTCCGGGAATAGGCTTTCAAAGTTCATACGCGTATGAAGATTTGAAGATTTTACAGGCATCGCAACAAAATGTCAATTTAAATCTAAATTTTTTATGGGTGGCCGACCTTCATTGCTAAGAATATTTTTATACCCATATATATCGGAAAATATGTACAACAGCACTGTACATATGTATATGTAAAAATCTATGACCGGTCCTGGTACTTGACATAGGCCAAAATTTGTTCTCATTGTGATCTATACTCAATTATGTTCCCTTTTCCCGATACAATTAAAATTCATATTTGTATTTGTTTTCAAATTTTCAGCAATTGATCGTGTTTATTCAACCGGTCGCATACCCGGCAAAGAATTCAAGGCAGATGTTTATGAACAAAAACCCATTAAGATAACTCAAGACGTCTACATACCCGTAAAAGAATATCCAAAATTTAATTTTAAAGGAAAAATATTAGGACCCAAAGGTAATACTCTCAAACGTTTACATCAGGAGACTCTATGTAGTATTGCAATCAAAGGTCGTAACTCGATGCGTGATCAGGAACGTGAAGATGAATTACGACAATCTGGTGATCCTGCTTTTAATCATTTAAATAGAGATCTATATGTAGAAATTGGTACGATCGCACCACCGGCAGAGGCATATGCCCGTTTGGCGTACGCGTTAAGGGAAATTCGTAAATATATTATACCCGATCGTAATGATGAAATATCACAAGAACAATATCGTGAACTAATGCAAATTGATCCGCAATTGGCTCGTGCGACATATCGTATTAAGAGTGTGCCACAAAAGTGAGTTATTATAATTATTCTTTTTTTATATATTAATATTATGTTTTTTCTTTGGATTTCAGATCTATATTCCAAAAACTTGTTAACATGGGAGCTAGCAGTACTGCTAGTTCGGCAGCGTAAGTTAATTAAAATTATATTTTTATGACATTTATATTCTATTAAAATTTGATTACCTCATTATAGTCATAGTGTCGATGATTCCAGTGGTCAACCAAAAAGCATTCCATGTAGTCCAGGTAAGACAAAAGCAATACTTGGGGGGAATAACAAAAACGCTAGTTCATCACACGTCAAAAATGTACCGGAAATCGGAATATCAAACTTGGTTTTACCACAGTTTAAAGAGTGTTTATATCATCAGCCTTAAGACTATTTTATCCAAATATCAGTTTTAGACCTCAAGTGGTTTTGGAACAAGAAGGTTCAGATAATTTCGTACCGATTAAGAAATCTTCATCAATCTCTCATGCTGGCTGTTGCGAAGGATGGGTGTTCGGCTATCTTTAACAGCCGTTCACTGAGAGACATATGTCCATTGTGCTCATCCTGGATTAAAGGAAAGTGGAAAAGATGGGGAGAGATAGACGATGTTTAAAAACAGTGTAGAAAAACTATTTTAGCCATGATTGAATTTTAAAAAAGCTAAGGATCTGCTTGAGATATCTTCCGGAGAAGAATGCTAGATTATTAATCTTATATTTACTAAACTGTCGGTGTCTTCTGGAAAGTAGCAATTGACACCTACAGAGTAAATGTTCAAGTGTTTCCAGCTCTTGCTCATCCTTACATAGACGGCAATAACCTACTCCGTTAACGCCGAATTTTAAGTGAGAGATCCTGCAGTGGCCTGTTGTGATCACCACAATGATTGTTATCACCCTCTTACTATGAGGCAGCAGTGAAGAAGTTATAGGGCGAAAGAATTCCGACCGGATGGTTTTTGAACTCCTGCATTCAGAATCTGTTGACCATCTGTTGCTTCACATATGATACCCTTCACCACGTTGGGTATAATCTACGTATGTATCCTAACAATTTCATGTCAGTGTTCTCCCTAAGGGAACATAAAATGGGAATAAAATATATATGGGAGCAATATCTAAATTTGAACCGAAAATTAGCACTGATCATTGTGGACTAGTTCAGTACGATATGCCAAATTTGTTGCAAACGAAAGACATATAGGGACTTCGGTACACCGGTTACATTAAATCGGACGAAAATATATATGGGAGCTATATCTAAATCTGAACCGATTTTCACCAATTTCAATAGGGTTCGTCCTTGGGTCTAATAAATAAAATTTTTGCCAATTTTCATCCAAATCGGTTTATAAATGTGATCTGTACTTTGTTTACAAATTAACATCAACAGACAGATGGACGGACAGATACAATATCATGCGATGACGTATAAGATTATGAGGATTAATTCACATTTACTCTTTCTTGTAACACCACCGCAAAGTTTCAACATATGAAAAATTTTGTAAATAAAATAAAAAATGGGACCATTGTTCCACTTTTGGACTATATATGTGTCTATATGTCTATATAAGCGCGCGATAAATTCTTTTTGATCAAAACATGACAAAAATTATTGCTTATTTTAATTATTATAATTGTATATTATTTTTTAAAAAGTTATATTTATGACATTTTTTGTTTATAATTTTTCAGAAACCCATAGTCGAGCAAATAAATGGCCCAATAATAAACCGTCAGTTGCTGGAAGAAATACAACTATTCGCATACAGCCTTACCCTCGGAAAACTACATTCAAAGTAAAAGGACATCCGTAAAATATATAATATTGAATATATTGATAATTAGTAGTATTAATAATCAATTAAATTATAACTAATATTACTATGTAATAAAAAAACGTAATAATTCATTCATATATTAATATTAAAATGGTTTATTTATTCAGGATTTTTTTAGATATTTACAACAATAATAGCTTAATTTTCAAGAGGAAATTCATTAAAATATTTTTTGCAGGATTTTTTTCATCATCATATTCCCGCACAATTTAAATTCCGTCAAATCAATATTAATATACCAGAAAATCCCTTGAACCTAAGAATGGAAATTAAATGTGGACATTATTATGCACTTCTTGTGTGAAAAAAATGTAATTGTATGGCGACCGGAAGTTTCACTTTAATAAATTCTTTTAATGATGCAAACTGGTTGGGAATGTCATTTTCTCACCCTTTTATGCATTTTTTGCACATATTGATGTGCAACTTTATTTATTGTCCCCTCTTGTATATACTCTAGGGATGTTCTGTTATGAACATATCAATGACAGCATAGTATTTCAGTCGGTGTTTGTCTGTTCATTTCATTACACGCTAGCATGTGACAAGTGGTTTAGTATTCAGTTGATAGGAACAATGTAATTTAAATGGTTTTAAAAATAAATAATGTTTAAACATATTAATAAACGTTTACAAGAAAGAACCTAAAGGATTATAAGTAAGATAAATGTTACTTCTTCATTTCGAATACTCCAAGAAAATGGACTGAAAAGAAGATTGGATATTCTGGACGCTATGGTTTGTATTATTTTACAATAGATAAGATATTATCGCACAATAATTTCAGAGAAGATAGGAAGAATATATCTAGATTATAAGTTAATTCTTTTTGGATTTTTTTATTCGAGCCATTTGAAAAAAATGAAAGAAATTCTTAAATTGTTTTTATTTGCTGTATTCTATTTACCGTTCATAAAGTTTTACAGACTCCAATAAAATGGACTGAAAATGTTAGTTCCTGAGGAATCGCCATCAAAGACCAATATCCAATAAAATTTAATCAGTAACATGTTGAGTGGGTATACAATTTCCCTAGCCATATATATTGTTAAAAGTGAAGAACAGATTTCCAGGTGGTGAATATTTTGTAAGAAACTTAAAAAATAACTTCGTTTTAATAGCAATGAAGGTAAAATATCAAATTATTATATGAATCTAAAATTTCAGATTATTTGGAGTCGATTTAGAAATAGCATTCTTGTTCGTTTGTGCGCATGTTAATTCAGATTAACGTCTCACTCCTTGTTTGTCACAAAATGGCCGCACTTTCCAAGAACAATAAATATCCGATTAGATACCAACTTTGTACATTGTGGTAATCTTACACATCCAGATCAAGTTTGAAGATGGAAAAGATCGGTGCGCCTCTCTGGTCAACATTTTGAAAACTTTTACATATCATAATAATTTTACCAAACCTTAAACAGGCCTGAGGATAAAACCATTCCACTCCTTCTTGTAACTTCCACCTAAAGGGTTAAACATTTGAAATCTTCTAAATTCATGACAGGTCTGAAAATGGAACTCATCGGTTCAGTAATTGTGGTACACCCCACACAATGTGCGAAATTAAAACATAAAATATATATTATATAAAGCAAAAGGGGGCTAAACTTTTGTCTAAACTATTCATACCATATCATTTTAATTTTCTTTTCATCTGTTATCTTAAAATAATCGAAACATGGAAAATCAAAAATCCCTTAAAATACGAGGTAAGTCCCAGATTTAAAAAAATATTAAAAATCTAATAAGTAGATTGAGAATATATTAATTTTTCCATAAAAAAAGTTTTAATTATTTTACTATAAAATTATGGCATATAATTTCCATCCACAACGTACGCTGACGGCGTCGCTACACTGCTTTTATTTAAACGCAGTCGTTGCGACGTATACAAACAGCTGTTATTGACGTTTCGCCAACGTAAACACATTTTATACCTTCGATGGTGTGTGTGTGCGTGCATGTGAAGAATTGCATATTCCGATCGGTTGGCTATAATTTGGATAATTTAGGGAAATCTAAACTGGAACAATAGGCAAAAATGGTCACACAAGAATTTCAGGCTGTTGTCTTGGCTGCCGGCCGTGGTACTCGTCTGCCCGAAGTGTTGGGTAAAACACCAAAATGTCTACTACCAATTGGTCCATATCCATTGTTATGGTATCCTTTAAATCTCTTGCAGACCCACAATTTCCAAGGTAAGTTATTGGATGATGAAATGTGAGGAACTCTAACACGCACAATCCTTTCATTACAGAGGCCATTGTTATTGTCCTGGAAAGTGAACGCAGTGAAATTCAGCTGGCATTGGAGCGCACATCACTGAAAATGAAATTGGATTTTGTTAGCATACCAAGTGATAGTGATTTTGGTACCGCCGACAGTTTGCGTTATGTCCACGATAAGATACAATCGGATTTCCTTGTCCTCAGTTGTGACATTGTTTCCAATGTTAGCCTGTTTCCATTGATTAACAAATTCCGTCAACATGATGCTTCATTTACGGCATTGTTATTTAAAAGTGGGTTTGAATCGGATGTAACGCTGCCCGGACCAAAGACAAAACATAAGCCAGAAAGAGATTTAATCGGAATACATCCAGAGACTAGGAGGCTGTTGTTTTTGGCATCCGCCAGTGATTTTGAAGAAGTTATGAACGTCAATGCCCATCTGCTGCGTAAGAATGGTAAAATGACCATCTATTCACGAATGACCGATTCTCATATTTATGTTATGAAGAAATGGGTGCTGGAATTTTTGAAAAAGGTAAGTGGAAATATTGAAAATGTATTAATAAGTGGAATGGATGTATGACTTATAAATGGCCCCTATATCGACGACCTAACCTTTGTTGGGTTTAGTCCCATATTTCGATTTTTTTTAGGAGTTTGGGCATGTCCTTCATCCAAAGTGGCCGTAATTTAGTATTTGGAATTCTCATTGAGTAGAACATATTCCAACTAAAAATTATGAATATTGGTCCACTTTTTAGGATAGCCCCCACATTATTTATTGATTGATTCTCACTGGGTGTCAAAGTTTTCAGTTAATTTAAATGTCCACCTTTTGGTGGAGATTATAAAAAGATAGACCTGGCCTGAAATTAACCAAGTCTTAACATGTTATACCCTACACAACTATGTTATTTGGGTATTATAGCTTTGTGCAGCCCCAAGAGTTTGCAACGTCGCGATAAATTGGTTCTAGATCTCGACTATCTGAGTCCGTCCATTATAATTTGTAAACCAAATTTGAAAAATAGGCCGGGTTAGAAAGTGGAGCTATTGACCTATAATCGGTCAAGAGGGTGCAAATATTATACATCCGCATAAAATTATATTTTCAGAGTAGTTGTGTAGGGTATCATATGGTCGGCCCCGTCTGACTATACTGCTCCGCTCACTGGTTTTTATTATAAATTGTTTTCTATTTCCTTGTAGAACGAAAATTTCTCCACATTAAAGGGTGAATTTTTGCCATATTTAATTAAGAAGCAAATGGCAAAATCAAGTGGACATTCGACAACAAATCCAGTATCCGATACACAATCTGAGTTGGGTAAACAAGGCGACAATATATTTGATGTAAGTATGACCTTTTAATTCAAATATTTTTTGCTCTTTATTTTAATAATACATTTTTTTCAGTTCATCCCAACCTCAAATTTGGAACAGCACATATTCAAAGTAACTCTCTATAATGATAATAGAACAAAGCCACTATATAATGGTGATCTGTTGAGATGTTATGCCCTGGAGGCACCCAAGGAGACAATTGGTGTGCGCGTTAATACCACCTTATCGTTCTTTGCCATTAATCAAAAGGTAAAAATTAAAACATAGGCTCTGTTCCAGGACCTCAAAATCTTCAATTAACAGAAATTGTTCCAATTATCCTTTTATAAATTTAAAAAGTTTTAACACTTGTTGAATACAGGAAAACACATCAATCATTTGAAAAATTTTCTATTGAAATTGTTAATTTGGTGTTGCTGAACCTACAAGAATATTCTATAATCGAAATTTCTCGATTATCCCTTTATTCGTTTAAAAAGTTTGACCACTTATTGAGTACGGATACAGACCAATCATTCACCAATCACTTTACTACCTTTATGATATTGAAGAAAATATTAAAAATTATTATATTCGATGTTACAGGATTTTTATTAAATGATATGCAAATATGCTTAGAACTCTTCAGAAGTAATAATTAATATTTTTATTTGTCTTAGCTTCCAACAATTTGGCCCTTACTCTGTGGTGGTTTGGAACTTCCTTTAGTATCACCTAATGCAGTTGTCAATTCAACACAAACCAAGGAAATTGCTGTGGCCGATAATGCCAAGCTATCTGAGAAGACATCATTGAATTTCAGTGTCTTTGGACCAAATTGCTTTATTAACCCCAAAAATATTGTTAATAAGTCACTAATAATGGCCCATGCTGTTGTGGAAGAGGGGTAAGCGAATTAAATATTTTATAATTAAAATTGATTTACATTATACTTTTGTTCTCTTTTCAGTTGCAATATTGATAATTGTATTATTGGTCCCAAAGCTGTTGTTAAAAAGGGTACAAAACTTAAAAATTGTTTAGTTGGTGCCAATTTCATTGTCGAAGAAGGTTCACAATTGGAGGCGAAACATTTAACGCATGCCGATGGTTATATGGAAATTGATATACAGTAATGCAATGCAATGAATGTGTAAAAGGAAGAACTAAAAGAAATAAAAAATGTGTTTGTACAACTTTTTTTGTAATTTATAAATATGTTATTTTTTATTTTAGGATCGTACCTAGTTTCATGCGTATGCGTACGAATTTATTCAACTCAAATGATAATTTCATGTATGTATATCAATGAATGTTATCCAAATACGCATTGAAGTTGAAAATTTTCAACATTGGATTGGAGTATTTTGGATTTTTTGTTTTTTGAAAATAGAATTTCAGTCATTGAAAAATTTGTGTTTCTATAAAAGTAAACTTTTTTTGATCAATAAAAAATGTTTTCATCCATTTTCGCCGTTTTCTCTTGGCACAGATGGAAATAAAGACTGCGTATTTGGGTAATACGAACTGACAATCGTTAGCCGTTTAAGACTCAGGTCGTTTCGGATCATATGTCTACTGCTCTATTGATCGATACGTTCGTTTTGAATCGTAGATTTCATTGTTGTGGACTAATAAGTTATTTATACCAACTCTTTAACATTGCCCCTTTCCTTTATCTCATTTCTTTGACGTAAAGTAGAGATAAACCGATTCATTTGTTTTGCTAGACATAATTTTTCACACCGTTCAATATTAAGATTAGAGATCAGTCTCGTTTATGACGACTCGGTAGACATAGGCACAACAATTCTCTATAATTTATATTTGTTGATGTCTGTAATCTGAGTATGTGAAACGATTTCTTATCACAAAAACAAAAACTGATTTCAACTATGTATTCGGCCTACTAACCATATATGGGAAACTAAACTAAAAAAAGATATGAAATACAATTTCAAGATTTTTCCTACCTTTAAAAAAAGGCATATAACCTCCGCTTGTTAAGTCGAATTACCCATACATTTGAAATGGGGATATGACTCTATTGTCGTCGGATCCAAAACAATTTTTATACCCGCTACCATAAGGTTATATAAAATTTGTCATACCCTTTGCAAACTCCTCGAAATATTCACTGGAGTCCCAATAAAGTAGTATAGCTCCGAGGACCGCATTCACTCTATTCATTCAGCGCTGCGGAACTCCATCAGTATAAATGATGTTTAAACCTGTTCGATACGCAACTTGATCTAGATGCTAATTTTATAACGTTGGAACTCTCTCTAGATCATCCAGATCCTTTCTGATATGCCTGGGTGGGGTTGTTTTATTACCATATGATAGGATATTGCTCTTTATGAAGAGGCCCACTGGTGTCATGATGAGGTACCCTATTGCAGTTCTCAGGTCGGCGTTTTGACAGGATTGAATACTTCTTCATTGCGTAGCACTAGTACTCGCAGACCACACCAGTACCGTATAGCTAATCACAGAACGATCTATCGATTTGTAAGTGGTCAACAAAATGTCCTTATCTGCGCTCCAACTGCTGCCGGCAATTGATTCAAGAACTTTGTTCCTACTTTTCAACTTATTGTAGATATCTGTGGTTAGTGTGGACGATTTGAATAGGCGGCTAAAAGTGATCCCGAGAATTTTAGCGTTCAAATTCACTGACATTTGGTGAATGATGTGGCCGAAGATTTCGCGGGGAATATTTTCATATTCATCGCGTGGAAGAAGTCTAGTAAATCGACGAGATAGGTGCTCAACCTTACAAATATGTTCGCAACGATAGAACCCTACGCCATGATCGTACAATCATATGCATACGTAACGATCTCAATGCCGTCTGGAGGACGTGGACTAACGTAAAAATAGAGGTTATACAGTACCGGAGACAATACTCTACCCTGAGGATCTCCCTGCTTCACTCTACGGGGTTTGGACTTCATATTCCGGAACTCCACGTACGACTGACGTCCAGACATGTAACTGATCCTAAGTTTAAAACTTGTTCAGAGGCAAGAGATTTCGATGTCCTCAAACAGGGTGACAAAGCCTTTTTATAGGCCAAGTGCTACCAACATTGTTCTATGACACGACCGGTTCTGGTTAAGTCCTCGACATATATGTGTGGAGATTGCATGCAAGGTGCTGGAGAGGATTAGTGCCTCAAGAGTCTTCGCTACTGGTGACAAAAGTGAAATCGGCCTGTATGATATATCTTTACTGGCACCGTTGCCTGGCTCTGTGACTGTATGGCGGATGCATTATAACTTCCCAACCAAGCTCCCGAAGTTTCTGGCGAGTCACTGTTGATGTGTGTGACCTAGCGTTGTCCTGGTGGAACACGACACCTCTCCTGTTGGCAAATTCTCGCCGTTTCTGGTCAATTGTAATTTTCAAACTGTCCAGTTGTTGACAGAAGAGATCAGAATTTAGCGTTTGGACATATGGAAACAATTCATAATAAATAATCCCCTTCCAGTCCCACCAAATGCATAGGAGAACCTTCCTGGCCGTTAGTCCTGGTTTGGCCACCGTTTGAGGTGCTTCACCGCTCTTTGACCACGATCGTTTTCGCACTGGGTTATAGTTTGTGATCCATTTCTCATCTGCAGTCATCATCCGTTTAGGATATGGGTCTATCTCATTCAGTTTGGCCAAGGCTTCGTAGATGGAAATTCGATCCATTATTTTTTTTTCTGTTAATTGGTGTGGCACCCAAACATCGATCTTCTTTTTGAAACCAGCTTTGTGTAAATGGTATAAAACAGCTTTATGGTCGCGTAGAAAAAGATCGTAATGAAACGAACGTAATGATTTTATTACCTATTTAAATCCGCTATTAACAAATATTAAGCGATTTTTGCGAATGACAGCTGATTTTACAAATCAGCTGATTAGAACAAAAACAATTTATCATTCGCGTGTTCTCGTCTCCAGTAGAAACGTATTTATATTAAATTAAACTCAAAATATTTCACGCGTCCATCTACAATTACGTGAAACTGTTCATCATCATAGACAAATATGTAAGTATGCGTGTATGTAGATACATTTAAATATTTAGAATTGAACTGTTTACCAAACATTCTTGCGAGCACATGTTGATTATAAATCAAATATTTATAATTATATCAAGTTATAAAAGAATTAACTACATAATTATTGAATGCTATGTGATAAAACAAAATTATTTTCGAATTCCAAAATTCCGATGCAATATCAAAAAACCACAAAAATTAATATTTCAAAAATATAACAAACATTTTGAGGTTAGGTTTCACTTCCTCTCATCGATTTAGAAATCGAAACTTTACGCATTCAACAAAATGGTGGTGACATTCAATCCTATCAGATTAGATTGCTAACAACAAATCTACATATGACATACAAATTCAACACACGCCCACCTGCCATAAACGCCAGGTTATAAATTAACGTTATTTACATTCCAAACTATTCCACGCGATACAACACCACAACACGACCAATATATTGAGATAGCATTGCAAATAACTTGAAATTTAATAACAACGCAGGTAACTGGCTGATAGGCCAAAGAGCAATTAAATACCGATGGGTGAAATTTTGATTCTGTCGGCATGAAGAGCAGTTCAATTAAATGAAATTTTAAATAGGTATGTATGCAGATGTTTATGCGTCCAAATAGATGTCGAAGTTAGATAAGTCAGTCTAGTTTGGATTTTGTTCTAATCTTATCTCGACGAGTCTCACTTATAGAGCCACCCGCGATAATGGCCAGTGGCCTCGGAAGTTTTTGTTTTGTTTTCATTTTTTTCAATATTGGAGAGGTGCGAAATTTGTTGTTATCGAAAAGTCTCGTGAGATAATTCTTAGCTACATAGCTTAGCTGAAGGGTATGTATATTAAATTGGGAATTTTCGAGAGGACGGTTTTGTAGGAAAATTTATACGCATCAGTTCAAAATGCACATTTAAATTAGAAACAGGGTAGTTGAGTTCGGCCGGGACGAACTTTTTGTACCCTGCAATATGATATAGGTACTCAATGAATCAAAAATCTGTAGGGTCTTTATTTTAGAAAAATTCCAAATCTAGTTCATCTTCGAAAACCTCCCAGCAAGAACACAATTTTACGAGTGAATTTCGCATACAGAAGAATATTTCGTAGCCTTACAAGACTCTGTGGACCCACACATAGTTCAATCATCTTATTAAATCTGAAATCGATTTTGAGACGAATCGGATTCACAGCATTTCGGACTAAATTTTGTCGGAAAAACAAATAATTCTTCAACTCCATCCTATGGTTGGCCAATTCGGTCCTTTTTCATGCTACTAATTTTGGAGATTTTTTTATTTTCGAACTGTAACACTGCTATACACGTACACCTGAGCTTATAGCTTCTATTTTAGACAGATTGTGATTCAAAAGTAGGAGGATCCGTTAAGAGACAACAAAAATCGAATTACAGCTTAATTACCACCATTCCGTAGGCCTATTTCGCAAATAAGGTGTAATATCGAATACCTACATCATTTGTATTTAAAATTTACATATGTACATTTACTTTAAAACCATGTCAAAAGAACCGCAACCTAAACGGGCCACAGACACACGTGCACCGTGTAAATGCTGTCAATATTCATTGCAATTTGGCAAATCTGTGTCATAAAGACGAATTTTAAAACTACGGAAATTGCATTTGATATCCTACCCGAACCCCATAAACCATCAACCGCGTCATCAATTTCAATGAATATCCTGACACGAGATGTAACCGCATCGTTTTACATGTATGCCATAACCGAAAAGGGATTTTAGTTGACACCGTTGCACATATACAAACATATATGCACGTAATATATGTATATATTTATATATAGTAACAAAATTTAAACCAAATACACAAACGTTTAATCGATGAAAATTTAAAATAGAGTGAGATGTGCGCATGAAATCGGTATGGAATTCGGCCAATCATTTGACACCTCTATACATGATTATTCAATGAGGTCCCATAACAACCTGAATAAAAAGCCTCTCTCTTTTAGTAGAAGCTTTGAGAAAGTTGATCACCTGACCAAGTTCTCTGGGAATTTGGAATTTAAAGTTTATTTACAGTGTTTTTAATTTGCAATCAACAAAACGTAAGTAGATCCTGAATATTTATGGTGTTTCTAAATTCAAATAGTCAGAACAACTCTTCTATATTTCGAACCGTCGCATTTTCACTACACTTGTATCTGAATTTTTAGACAAATGTCGAAAAAGTCTCTGGCCAACTCTGAAACTTGAAAACTACAGCTTTGAGCATGGCCTAATTACACAAGGTAGTCACATGTAGACACGTGAATCGAATTTTGACAACATTCAAAATTTAAATGAAAATAACCTCCTTCGAAATGTACGCACAACATGTGTCCAGTGACAATAATTACAAAATGTTAAATATTTTGAAGTTCCCTGCCTCAATAATCTATAAATATAAGTTGTAACATTTTACGGAATTTATTTTTCAAACATTTTGAAATAGATAGATGAGTTCCAAATTAAAAAGAATTGTCATTATTAATTTCTCAAATGACACTACCTTCTGTAGTTATGTCATGGCTTCGAGGTAGTCAGAGATTATATATATATCTCGGTACCGACATAAATAAAACTAATGACATCAGTTTTGAGACTCTAAGAAGGATTGTATTGGCCAAAAGATGCTACTATGTTAGACCATAGTAGCATCTTTTGGCCAAAGCAATTTAGAAAAAAAAAACTATTCACAGACGAAACATAAAACGACAAGTTTTCTCCGGTTGCTTGAATATGCTCGCGGGGTTGAGTTTCCTCACAGGAAATTTATATTAAAGTGACCGAGAGTGAGAAGATGTAGTTGTTATTTCAATAGATAGATAGAAGTCAGGCAACCTCTGATTCTGTTCTGCTAAAGCTCCGATATGACTGTTGGTACTAGGAATAACTGGCGATGAGGCGCCGTTTGGTTGAGGCTATATAAGCAATATAAAGAAATTACTGGTTGGGAAGATCCGAATCAGGCTTCAGTCCCTTACGGCTCCTTAACTTCACGGTCACTCACACTGCTTCGATATAGGATTCGACGTCCCTTCAGGGTTACAATATTTAACTATAAATGTCCAATGGCTCTTTTTTTCAATTCGTTTCAAATCACTTTTCTTATATAAATGGATCTTTATTTCCTTTAATAAAGACACACGGCGGTTCTTTAATTCGATTTGGTAAACATCACTTTTTTAAAAAAAGCCCACGACTGTTCTTTATTCCACTTTAAAATAAAGGTCCACGAATGTTTTTTATTTCCGTTCGGTTAAAATTACTTTTCTTTAAATTAAGGCCCTTAATTTTGATTCGGTAAAAATCGCTTTAACATAAGAAACATCTGCTATTTTAATCACTTTTAATCGTCGTTACTGCCTTATTTCCATTCCTTACATGAGATTCATATGAGATTTTTCTTTGAGAGGGAAAATTCTCCGAAAAATCGATGAGGATGCACCAGCTGATGATTCACGCAGAAGGGGAAGGCCAATCTTGCGGGAATGACGCACCTGGAAATCTTTTTTTTAAGTTCGGCTTATGGAACACATGATATATTTCCAGCGAACTAATTAAAAAGAAGAAGGGTCAATTCTGGAATATAAATGATTATTCGACGATCATGTATAGGTTATAAAAGACTAATCAATTCCCTAGGAATTTAAATAATGTGGATTTTGAGAAAATGTATCTATTTAAGTATTTAACTTGTTCAAAAATCAATTTAATCTACTATAAATTTCGAAAATTTTTAGATTGAGATCTGTTGAAATTGTATCACAAAGATCGTCGTTCCGGAAGGAACTAGTTCAAAGGAACGATCGGTACTAGGTTCGGAAGTTTCGTTCATCTAGTTCTTTTAGTTCCAGTTTTTTCGTTTTGATCTCATTCACCTAGTTCCATATTGACCCAATCGTTCATATAAAGCTTTCCCTTCGTCGATCGAATTAAGAGAACTAAACGGATATATAGAACTAAATGAATGACGTTATACTTCAAACCACATTAGGCGAGTCTCCGGAAAGTCTTAATACTGAGGCAAGTGAATTTGGCTTTTCGACAATGAAAACAAGAGTACCCATTTATGGGTATTTATGTATGAATGGATTAGAAGCAGTGACACAAGCAAGAAGAAATAAATTGGTCTGTTCCAGTACTTTTTTAATAGTAAATCTAGTAAAAGGGAAACATGTCAAAATTGCTCTCAGAGTACAAAATAATTTGAAAAGTTCGGAAACGCAAATCTAGTAAATATGCCAAAATTAGATGGCAATACTTCAAAATCAACATAACAGCCAATCAGAAGTGGGCATTCCTGTTTACCATTTTTACTCGACCAAATTTCTCGAGTAAAAATTTTACAAAGATTTGTTTTGTGCTCTCTTAAATTTGAGTCAATGTTTTACCAGTTTTGTGCGTTGAGGAACGGTTTTCGAGTAAAAAGTTGGAAAACATGTAAAATGAGTAGATTCTTTTAGGTTCTGGAACGAATCTAATATATGTTCACAGGTTGTTCAGAATAGTTTGAACAGAATTTTTAATAAATATAAGATTTCGTAGTTGGAGTGTCTTAAGATAAAAATCTAAAATTCCACATGCAAAACTGATAAGACGGTTTCTATTGTTGTTAAAATTTTATGGGAAAACCCTCCACAAAAAAAGTTTTGATAAGATTAGGCTAAGCATGATTAGTTTAAGAAGTACCTAAGGATAAATATTTGACAATGCGAATATATCAGATACCGAAAGAATTTCAATATATACAACGATTACACTATGTCACAAAATCGAGCTCATAGTCTGGGGTTTGAAAAATGATACTCATAACATTCTAGATGGGGTCCTCAAAGACAAGAAACCCGATTTAAAAAAAAATTAAACCGATTTAAGCAAACCAAATCTAATTGGGTGATGTCCGGATGATTGGGGACATGTTCATGTAGCGAACATGGTTATCATATAAAGAGGGAAAAATTAGTTAAAAAGGGATCTATTTTTGTATACGAGTGTTTTTACACTAAAATAAAATAGAATTTTTCTATTGCCATATGTGGTATGTTTGGGTTATATTCCGGGAATTATTCTACACTACAGATAGATAAACATGTGTAGCATATTTGCTTGCCACATATGATATAAAGAAATGTGTGTTATGACAGATGTGTTCACGCACCCTCTCCCCCTTTTACACATTAACATTGTAATACTTAGTTTTTATGCAAAAATGTTTATATTAATAAATTTGTGTGTAAATGCACAAGGAATAGATTAGTGCATGCACTTCACGGAAATATCCGTGTGAAACATAGTAAACAGATCCCTCGTTTATCAGGACAAAAGAAATGGGGTCCTTTATAACGTAAAAAAGTCTACAGGGAACTGGGTCAACTTTCATGCTAAGAAGGTAGAACAGAACAAATTACAAGAACAGCTGAACGTAACCGCTGAAAAAGTTCTACAAACAGGTCCATAGCCTAAAAAGAAGTATGTATAACAAATCAAGAAATTTCTGGTAAAAACCAAACCGATATAAAAGTTGTCTTATCGCAATATCGGTTTTACGCCCCAATAGTCTTTCGACCAAATCTTTTTCAGTCAATCTGGATTAGATTTTGAAGTACCCACCCAGTGGAGCAGCCTGTCCGGTTCTTTGGCTATTTGATTAATATTGTTTAAATATGTTTTTTAAACTTAATTCGAAGATTAATTGTATGATTATATTATACCAGATTTAGTTAAACCAGTGGGTTAAAATTATTAATTCCTTTAAATATATGCCAAATAAGACGTCATAAAGTAGGTTAACCCGGTAAAAAGTTATTTTTTCGTGATGTAGGGTATCAAAATATATTCTATTACCTTTACTCCTATATGTAAATATTTAGAATGCAGTCAATACCAATTATGATAGCTTATCTCAAGAGGTATTATTATTGTTATTATTTTCTTAATGAAAGTTTTCACCGAAGTTTACAAAAAAAATGTTTAGCTAATAAAAACAAAAAGCGATTCTATCGAAATAATTTTAACAACACAGCATTATTTTGACTACGACAAACAAACATATAAGATAGATATGATTTGTGGAAAAATACAATTAAAAAAGACGTTTCATAAATCGATAAATGGTAAACATAAGGTTCAGTGAATATTTTGCTGTCGTAGGAGTGTGTTGATCGGTTTCACCAAAAAAAAAGAATCTAAAATGAAATTAACGGATATTCTAGTAGAATGCTCACCACAACAGCTTCGTGAGATGCTGGACATACTCAAACCGAAATTACCCCGGCGTATACAGCAATATAACTTCATTTACAGTTACCTCTTTCATTACGAACGTATAAATGCAAATCGTGAAAAACTGAAATCGGATCGTTGGAATTTAAGGCTGTACACACATCGTTATGGTAATATTGAGAATTGTACACTTATTAGTCATGGGGAGACTTTGGTAAGTTGTTTGATTTGTTTCTATTAAATTGTCCATAATTATTTTGTTATTCCAGGATTACATTATCCTTTGCTTTACCTTGCAAGAGTCCCAGGAGGAACTCAGGGAATGTCTAACACAAACAAATTTAATAAAATGGGATACAAAACGTATCGATGTGGTATGCGAAGAAAATACTTATATGATGGTCAAAGAGATTGTTACGGAAAGAACCAACAATGCCCACTGGAGATGTACACCATTTGAAAATGTCATGTATATTACAAAGGATAAAATTGCCGCGCTACAAGTTAATGAGTAAGTGAATTTAGAAATTGAAAAGCAAAACAAATATCACAGCTGTGGAATTTTCGGATACATCGGAACCTTGCTTGGTCTTCGAACACAAAAAATTGGACACACGAACTTGTAGGTTAGCTGGGCGTTATCATGGTACAAAGGTCAATTTCTGCAGAACGTTGTTAAAAATGGTTTCCGAAAATAAACTTAATAATTTCCAGGAATTTTTATTCCCTCCACCATAATGGGCTATTCGGTTTTCAATACCTCGAAATATTTACCGGAGACCCCATAAAGCTTATATATTCTCGATTAGAAAAAAATCTATGTCGATTTGTGTATGTCCATCTGTCCGTCCGTCAGTCTGTTGAAATCACGATAGACCACTCAATACTGTAGCTAGAGCTTTGATGTTAGGTATTAACACTGGAGTATAGAGGTCCACGTTTTAGTATAGCCTCCATATTATGATATCCCCAAATATTCGGTATTTTGGGGGTTGTCAGGACAAAACTATGTTGTGAGGGTATTATAGCTTTGTGCAGCCCCAAAAGTTTGTAACGCCGCGAAATATTGGTCCTAGACCCACCTTTAAGCATACCGATCGTCATATCTCGACTAGCTAAGTCGATCTAGACATGTGTGTCTGTCCGTCTGTCCATTATAATTTGTAAACACGATACAGGCCACAGTTATGGACCAATCTTCACGAAATTTTGCATGTAGGATGGGTTCTGGCCAATGATAAAGATCGGTTTGTTTTTGATAAAGATCGGTTAATATTTAGGGTATGAAATGGACCAAATACTAAATTTTTGTCGGTTTTTCTGGTCGCTCCAGAGGCCGCAGTTATGGTCCGAACATCATGAAATTTTACATGGTTATACGTAATTAAGTAAGGGTGACTATAGGCATATTATTACTATTACTCCATTAGAGGACGGAAATGTCACGCTGATCGCTTTGAAATTGTACATGAAGTTCCGATTATGGTCAAGGACGACGCTTTTAGTTTTCGGTGAAGTTCAGATTTCATTCAGGGGGTGCAATGAACCGAAAACTTTAATTTATTTTACAAGGTGAAGGGGATCTGACCCAATACTTAGAGCGGATGTTTAGATGATGATCGGTCAATTTTCCGAGGGTCAAATCAACCAAAACCTAAAGTGACCAATTTTTTATTGTATGGCGTAAAAATTCTCTTCAAGAAAAAAACATTTTGGAAAATATGTAAGACTTAGAAATAGGAGTTGTTGATCTATGATCTGTAAAAAGGGGCAAATATCACGAAATATTGCCCAGGCTCAGAATATAGAACCGCCGAAAGTGTGCTTTTCGTGGTAGTTGTGCAGGGTATCATATAGTCGGCCCCGTCCGACTATTCTGCTCCGCTCACTGGTTATTTTTAAAGTGGTTTATGGCATGGTTGATTAATTTCGGGAAAGGCAGAGAAGACTATAGTTTCGGATTTCGCCACAAATCCTCATCAGTTCTTTTAGGTTTTTGCTTGGGATATTCTCCCATTGGACAACGATAGCCCCTATATGGCTGTACCACCAAATGTTGAGTGTTTGGGGGATTTTTGGAACGCTTTTCATCGAATTGGTTGTAATTTCATATGTTGAGTTTTCATTGGGTGGCACATCTATCTATTAAAATTTATCAATGGACAAATTTTTGCGATAGCCCCCATATAACGGTACCCCAACATATGCGGTATTTTTTTACGCTGTTAAATCGAATTGACAGTAATTCGGTATTTTGAAAACTTGACTAATGACGCCCGGAAGGTTATTGATATACTCGTCAAGGGCTTTCAACCCCATCACGAATTTTCCATATTTCAGACTATAAATCCCATTTTGTATGACTGTATAATTGGTTATTCTGGGTTCTTGTTGTGCAGTAAACTCCCCTGAGGCCCCATAAAGAATACACAACATTTTCAGGATGCTAAGGGACCTAACCAGGTTCTGTGTGGGATAAAAGCCCTACTTCTAGGTAATTTCATGTTGTGACATCTATACAGTACCGAACGATTTCATGGATCTTGAAAGCTCATCACATGGCATTAAAAGTTCGGCATAATTACATTTCTACTGACAAGAACTTATGTGCGGAAAACCTTAACATTCGACCGAAATGGTGGTCTTGAATCAACAAAGTTCAATGTTAACAGAATATTGGTTACTCATTACTTACGTTATTATCATAAAACGATGATTCCTAAGATATTACGGTCCTCTCCAGAAGAAGATGGACATATGTAGAAGAATAATAGGAGGACTTTTATATATAAAATATTAACGACCAGATTTCGATCTTTCGGTGGAAATTACGACTCTCACTAGAAAATTACGACCAATTTAAATTCCAAAGTCCCGATATTTATTTAATAAACTTCGTGGAAGAATTATTACAGAATATATAGAAGATCCACAAGAATACTTCAAAATCTAATATGAAATACATTGATAGACGATAGTAAAAATCCAAGTACCTAATAGGTTATTATGTTTCCTTTTAAAAATCTAAGCTTAAAACCTGTAAGAAAAGTAGTAAAGTCGAACTGGGCCGACTATATGTTACCCTTCAACACTTTGGGTATATTCTACAAAGTCACCTAACAGACTTTCGAAAGAACATCGAAAGATATATAAGAACTTTGGTGTACCATTTACCTTAAATCGGACGATAATATATATGAGAGCCAGGGAAGTACGCAGGTGGGCGCTTCGGGGGGCCCGGCACCCCCCTAAATCTGAACCGATTTTCACGAAACTTAGCACACATCATTCTAGGCTTAATTCAGTACGCTGTGCCAAGTTTCGTGCAAATCGAAAGATATTTAGGGACATTGGTGCACCATTTACCTTAAATCGGACGAAAAATTATATGGGAGCTATATATAAATCTGAACCGATTTTTATGAAACTTAGCACACACCATTCTAGGCTTAATTAAGTACGCTGTACCAAATTTCGTGCAAATCAAAAGATATATAGGGACTTTGGTGCACCATTTACCTTAAATCGGACGAAAATATATATGGGAGCTATATATAAATCTGAACCGATTTTTATGAAACTTAGCACACATCATTCTAGGCTTAATTAAGTACGCTGTGCCAAATTTCGTGCAAATCAAAAGATATATAGGGACTTTGGTGCACCATTTACCTTAAATCGGGCGAAAATATATATGGGAGCTATATCTAAATCTGAGCTGATTTTTCCCAATTTCAATAGGGTTCGTCCTTGGGCCAAATACGTGACGTATGCCAAATTTCATCCAATTCGGATAATAAATGCGACCTGTACTTTGTTAACAAAAATACATGGACGGACGGACATGCATAAATCGACTCAGAAAGTGATTCTATGCATAATCCAACAGAACACAGCTTTTTTTTATTAAAATAATATTTAAATCAGTAAGCCGTCCATGCAATACCCTACACAACTACCACGGATGCGGATGTTTGTTCCGAGCGTGACATTTTACCCTCTTGCCCGATTAGAGGTCAACAACACCTCTTCCTTGCAGTAACATATTTTCCAAATATTACTAATATTCAGCACAACTCTTCTAAGTACTTGTCCAGATTACGTTCAGTGTGGGTTGGGTTGTGGTGTTTGGCTTATTATTGTGGCCTCTAGATTGACTCGAAAAAACGCAAGAAAATAAGTTTTTTGTTTACAAATTATAATGGACAGACGGACGGACACACATCCCTAGATCGACTCAGCTAGTCGAGATATGAGGATCGGTATACTTAATGCTATAATATCCTGACAACCTAGTTATGTGGGGTATAAAAATTCATGTTTATAGCTCACATAGTCCTCCAAAAAAATTTTATTAAAATTAACACCTATGTTCAGCACAAAATATTTAACAAAGTCCACGGCTATAGCTCTGACAGTCCTCTATAAAACATTATTTAACACTCCATTGTTGTGTCCCTGATAATTTCTGGGAAAATATTCTTTAGAAATCCACGCTTATAGCTCTGATAGTCGCTCAAGAAATAGTATTAAAAAACGACGACTTAAACCCCCCACAATATATATTCCATCAGAACATGATCTTTAAAAAATCGACTATTATACTCATTATTTTAATTCTTATTTCATTTTTCTTCCAGAAATCTCCCCGAAGACCTGTATGTAGCACCATTGGATGCTGCGAAGCATTGCAACTTAATTAACGAAAGTTGGTCTCACAAATACGATCAATCATTGGGTTTAATACAACAATCTATCGAATTCAATGGGGGTTTGGGTCTATTCAGGAAGGGTGAAGAACAGCCGCTATGTTGGATATTGGTAAATGAATTTTTAACACCAGGGTAAGATTTTTGCAAATAAATAAATAAGCAGTAATATTAAAAAATTTAAAATCTTTTACATTTCCAGATTCCTACACACCGTGCCCGCGGAAAGACGTAAAGGTTATGGCGAATTAATTCTGAAAATGGAACTGAAACGTTTACTTAAAATACACAATATGGATTTATTTACATTTGTTGTTGTCACAAATGAACAATCGCTGTATTTACACAAAAAATTGGGTTTTGAATCGGCTGCGAGAGTTATTTGGCTGGAAAAGCCGGAATAAAGGAAATTTAAATTTTAAGAAAACTTTAAGAAATATTATTGTGTTGGACCTTAAGAAGTTTTTTTTTATAAAACTACGCCTTGAGTTGGACCTCAAGATTTTTATACCCTTCACCACACTGTGGTACAGGGTATTATGTCTTTGTGCATATGTTTGTAACAGACAAAAGGAAACGAGATAGACACATGGTTCCTTTTTAGAATAAGCATAGAATCACTTTTTAAGTCGATTAATGCATGTCCGTCCGTCTGTCTGTCTGTCCATGTTAAATTGTAAACAAAGTACAGGTCGCATTTATGATCCGAATTGGATGAAATTTGGCATATGTCACTTATTTGGCCAAAGGACGAACCCTATTGAAATTGGGAAAAATCGGTTCAGATTAGACATATATATTTTCATCCGATTTTAAGTAATTGGTGCACCGAAATCTCTGAAAATCATTCGATTTGCACGAAATTTGTTATAGCGTACTGACTTAAGGCTACAATGACGTGTGCTAAGTTTGGTGAAAATTGGTTCAGATTTAGATGTAGCTCCCATATATATTTTCGTCCGATTTTATGTATTTGGTGCACCAAAGTCCCTATATATCTTTAGATTTGCACGAATTTTGGTATAGGGTACTGAATTATGTCTAGAATGATGTTGCTAAGCTTCGTGGAAAGATCCATAGCTAGGCCGATTGACACAACGTACTGATGTAATATGAATTAGTCTCTGGCAAGTTTCCCTGAAATCGTTTCAGATATATTCTACATATGTTAGAATACTTATGTAGAGTATACCCAAAGTGGTGAAGGGTATCATATAGTCGGCCCAGTCGACTTTACTACTTCCCTTATATTTTTTTTTTTGTAAATCCTCGCCTTGTGTTGGTCCCTGAGAAAATATTCTCTAAAAATCCACTACTTGGTCTTTGAGAAAATATTCTACAAAAAGAATCTACGTCATGGGTTGGTCCTTGAGGAACTATTTTTTATAAATCCACGCCTTGTGTTGGTCCTTGACAATTTCTTTCACGCCTTATGATGGTCCTTGAAAAAAATATACTTTTTGAATCCATAAAACAATATTTTTTTAAAAACCATGCCTTCTTTTGGTCCTTAAAAATATTTATTTTAGAAACCAAGCCTTCTTTTGGTCCCTGAGAAAATATTTTTTTTTTAAATCCAAGCCTTGTGTCGATCCTTAAGAAAACATTTTTACAAAATCTTCGAGATCCGTTTTTAAAATCCAAATATCCATTTTTTTATTAAAATTGGTGTTAGTTTATTTCCGTGTGTTGCTAACGCTATTCGGTATATCTTTGTAAATAATAGAAATGCATGTAGTACTATTTTATTTTTGATAGCTTATCTCAATAGGAAAGTTCTCATTGCAATTTACAATATGAGTACTTGTGAGCAATCGTAAACAAAAGCATTTCTATCTAAGCAATTTAATAACAAAAGCACTTTTTTATTCGAGCACATATGGAAAACTACGGACTTGTTCACTAACAAAAAAAATCTCTCAGTAAATTATTTGCAGTCGTCGGAGTGTGTTGATCGGAAATTTGTGAAATCGAGCAAATAAAAAATGTCGGATATTTTGATGGAATGCTCTCAACAACAGCTTCGCGAGATGCTGGACATACTCAAGGCGAACTTACCTCGGCGTATACAACAACATAATTTCATTTATAGTTATCTCTTTCATTGGGAGAAAATAAATGCTAATCGTCAACAATTAAAATCGGATCGTTGGAATTTACGCTTTTATACACATCGTTATGGCAAGCCGGAGAATTGTACTCTGATTAGTTTGAATGGATGTGGGGTGAGTTGTGGATTTTGTTTTGCAAATTTAAAATTTTTAAATTTCTGTTCCAGGATTACATTGTACTTTGTTTCACCCTCCAAGAGTCCCAGGAGGAACTTCGGGAATGTCTAGCGAAAACGAATTTAATAAAATGGGAACCGAAAAGAATGCATGTGGTATGCGATGAAAATATACATGTTATGGTGAAAGAGTTACTTATTCAAAGAAGCCAGAAGACAAATTGGACATGTACGCCCTTTGAAAATATCATGTATATTACAAAGGATAAAATTGCAGCACTTCAAGTTGATGAGTAAGTTGAAAACAATTCTTAGGTCCTTGAAAAAATATTTTTTTTAAAAATCCACAAACTGTGTTGATTCTTGAAAAAATATTTTTTTAAAAATCCACAACTGTGTTGGTTCTTGAAAAAATATTTTTTTTTTTTAAAATCCACGCCTGAATTGGTTCATACAATATATTCTTTTATATGATATTCCTTAAAAATTCACTCTCCAGGTGTCCTTCATACAATATTCCTTAAAAATCCACGCTTATGGCTCTGATAGTCCTTCAAAATGTTCTTAAAATTCCACGCTTATAGCTCTGATAGTCCTTAAAAAAAATATTCTTTAAAAATCCACCAGCAATAGCGCAATTGATCCTTGATAAAATATTCTTCAAAAAATCCACGCTTATGGCTGTGATAATCCTTCACAAATGTTCTTTACAAATCCATGATTATGGCCCACATAGGCCTTGCAAAAAGATTCTTAAAAAATTTAAGTTTTTTAAATATATAATTTTTTTATTCCTTTAGAAAACTTCCCGACGACCTGTACATAGCACCCTTGGACGCTGAGAAACATGCCGAATTCATTAACAATCATTGGTCTCACAAATATGAAAAGTCTTTGGGTTTAATTCGACAGTCTATTGAATTTAATGGAGGATCGGGGCTCTTTCGTCGTGGCGAAGAACAGCCGCTATGTTGGATGTTGGAAAATGAATTCCTAACACCAGGGTACACAGTTCAATAACTTCTAAAGTATTTATAATTAAATAATAAATATTCGTTATATTTTTAATTTCAGATTCTTGTATACCATGCCATCGGAAAGACGCAAGGGTTATGGCGAACTAATTATGAAAATGGAACTGAAACGTTTATTAAAACTTCACAATATTGATTTGTTTACATTTGTGATTGTTACAAATGAACAATCGCTGAAATTACATCGTAAATTGGGTTTTGAGCCGGCTACCCGAATTGTTTGGATTGAAAAGTTTGAATAAAAAAATAAAAGAATTTAAATATGTTGTGAAAAAACTTTAACACATAAATAAATATCAAAATATTAAAGAAATATCATTTATAAAATATTGTTTTAAAAATCCAGGCCTTGTATATGTCCTTAAAAAACATTGCATTCCCTTAAAAATATTCTTTAACAAAATCCACGCCTTGTATAGGTCCCTGAAAAGATATTCTTTAAAAACTACACGCCTTGTATAGGTCCCTGAAAAAATATTCTTTAAAAACTCCACGCCTTGTATAGGTCCCTGAAAAAATATTCTTTAAAAAAACCCACGTATAGGTCCCTGAAAAAATATTCTTTAAAAACTCCACGCCTTGTATAGGTCCCTGAAAAAATATTCTTTAAAAAAACCCACGCCTTGTATAGGTCCCTGAAAAAATATTCTTTAAAAACTCCACGCCTTGTATAGGTCCCTGAAAAAATATTCTTTAAAAACTCCACGCCTTGTATAGGTCCTTAAAAAAATTATTTAAAAACCAGTAAGGAAAGTAGTAAAGTCGGGCTGGGCCGATTATATGATACCCTTCACCACTTTGGGTATATTCTATATATGTATCCTAACAGAAGACGTGAACCGATTCTGGGGAAACTTGCCAGAGACTAATTTATATTACATCAGTACGTTGTGTCAATCGGCCTAGATATGGATCTTTTCACGAAGCTTAGCAACAACATTATAGACTTAATTAAGTATACTATACCAAAATTCATGCAAATCGAAAGGTATATAGGGACTTTGGTGCACCAGTTACATAAAATCGGACGAAAATATATATGGGAGCTATATCTAAATCCGAACCGATGTTCACGAAACTTCGCACACATCATTCTAGACTTAATTCAGTACGCTGTGCCAATTTGCGTGCAAATCGAAAGATATATAGGAACTTTGGTACACAATTTACCTTATATTTTACGAAGAGATATATGGGAGCTATATATAAATCTGAACGGATTTTCACGAAACTTGGCAGACATCATTCAAGATCTTATTCATTACGCTGTGCCAAATTTCGTGCAAATCAAATATTCCCAGGGACTTTCGTGGACTATTTACCTAAAATCGGGCGAAGCTATATATGGGAGATATATATAAATCTGAACCGATTTTCGCGAAACTTTGCATACATCATTCTAGACTTAATTTAGTACGCTGTGCCAATTTTCGTGCAAATCGAAAGATATTTAGGGACCTTGGTACACAATTTACCTTAAATCGGACGAAGATATATATGAGAGCTATATCTAAATCTGAACCGATTTTTACGAAACTTGGCAGATATCATTCTAGACCTTATTTATTACGCTGTTCTAAATTTAGTGCAAATCAAATGATTTTCAGGGACTTTCGTGGACTATTTACATAAAATCGGGCGAAGCTATATATGGGAGCTATATCTAAATCTGAACCGATTTTCACGAAACTTTGCACACATCATTCTAAACCTTATTCAGTACTATATGCCAAATTTCGTGCAAATCGAAAGATATATAGGGACTTTGGTGCACCGTTTACCTTAAATCGGACGAAAATATATATGGGAGCGATATCTAAATCTGAACCGATTTTTCTCAATTTCAATAGGGTTCGTCATTGGGCCAAACAAGTGAGCTGTGCCAAATTTCATCCAATTCGGATCATAAATGTGACCTGTACTTTGTTTACAATTTAACAACAACAGACGGACATGCATAAATCGACTCAAAAAGTGATTCTATGCATATTCTCAAAAGGAACCATGGGTCTATCTCGATTATTTTAGAATGTTACAAACATATGGTCAAAGACATAATACCCTGTACCACAGTGTGGTGAAGGGTATAAAAATAATGGATTGAATCCTGGCAAATCCTGAATATTACTAGAATTTAAATTTA